GTACATAAAACCGGGCATATATTCAGATCGGTCTCGTTAATACAAGTCGTCTGATATGCTACATCCCCTAGCTGGCATCATCAGGAGAGCAGAAAATGATATCTTCTTAACCATCCCAGCAGGTATGTCATATTTCATACCTAGACGTTCAGCTGGTGATTCTGCGTATTAATCTACTAGTGGCAAGGCTGCTAAATGCACCGGGAATAGGTTAGGAACCATGACATCAACTGCGAGGGTTTTTGGTTCTAGCTTGGGTCTCCGCCCCAGCATCCCTCCCCAAATGAGGCAATTGGTTCTCTGCTTTAAGGAGACACCCTGCTGAATTCCTAGAAAAAGCTGAGCTAAGCTGAGTTGAGCTAAGTTGAAGATTCTCCCTTTTAACATCGGAACTAACTTTGGGAGATAAGGCATCCTTTTGGCTCAGGAAACCTGATCTGCTTAAACCAAGGCTGACGGCAAGTACTTGATCCCTCTAAACTTTTTTCTGTTATCGCTTTGCTGTGCTATTGCTCTCTGTATATTTAAAAAGATTGGCTACATATTTTTCTGTAAATATTTTTATTGCACCCTTTTGACCTTTTCGTATTAAATCTTACTTTCTGAAAGTGTTGAACTGTTTCTAAAGCTCTTTAATGCAAACTAAGAACCCCTGCCTCTGAAGAGCGCTACTGTGTGTTTTAAACTTCAGTATATCTCTGCCTGCGGTGACAGTGGTATACAGACACTTATGCAAACATCATAGTGTTATTGATGATATTGCTGAGTTTCCTCTTTCTCTGTACAAAAAACGAGGTGGTGGCAGTATGAAGGGTTAATTGCATAATTAATCTGACCCAGTAACAATCGCTCTCAGGCTGCAGGTACATCGATTGTGGTCCATTAGCTGGAAAATCTTTGTGCAGGGTGCAGCTGGGCGTGGCATTGTTATGCACGTGACAGCGCGGTTTTAGATTGGCTAGTCCTTCAGTCACGAGTTTGGTGAGAAGGGCTGGGGTCTGATGCCGCGATCATCACAGGGCCCTTCTCATAAGAGCTTGCAATCTAATAGGATGAGGCAAGTGTTACAAAACTTTATAACTGTGGGGGATGAGCTGATGGAAGAGATAAAAGTTTAGTTGTTAGTGGGAGGCATGATAGGTTTCCCTGGAGAGATGAGTTTTCGGGGATCGCCTAAAGGCAGCCAGGGTAGGAGATAGCAGTGAGAGGCTATGAAGAAGTCTTGAAGACTGGGAGGAGGAGACGAGAGCTTGAGAGCAGGAGGTCTTGGGAGGAGTGGAGGGCATAGTTTGAGTGATATTTGGAGACAAGATTGGTGATGTAGCTGGGGATAGAGCTATGGATGGCTTTGTATGTTGTTGTTAGTAGGCAATCAGAAGCCAGTGGAGAGATTGGCAGAGAGGGGTGGCAGACTCTGAGTGGTTGGTAAGATAGATGATGTAATTTACATTATGGATTTATGTTTTAGCGTTTAGTATTTTAATTCTTCATTTTTAATTCGTTACTTTTTAATTTTCACTCGGTTTTAAAGAGATTTTGTTTAAGGAATTGCTTTGACATCCATGCTGTTATGTCAGTAAGTAATGCGAGAGGAGACTAAAGGAGCGATGTGATGAATAGATAGATAGATAGATAGATTTTGGTGTCATCGGCGTAGAGGAGGTATTGGAAGCTGTGGAAAATATAGAAACTTATAGAAACAAACACCTAAAACATCAGGTCAAAGATGTAAAAAAAATGTAAAAAAAGACCCCAAACCATTACAGTTTCACTTTAACAAGTGTTTTAGTTGTTTGGGATATGTTATGATAGAGTACATATCCGAGTAAAATTTTACTATTTCCTATGCTCATTCTGTAGCATATATTCCAAAGCATGTATACCAGCGGTTCTCAACCTGGGGGTCGAACGACGCTTCCACAGGGGTCGCCTAAGACCATCGGAAAACACATATTTCCGATGGTCTTAGGAACCGAGACACCGCTCCTCGCCGCCGCAGCCGTCGTCTCCAGGTGTGGGCGGGATGACATGCCGCCCCTGTCATCTGGACACACCTCGAGATCAATCCTTGCCTGTGATTGGCCGCCGGCACTGTAGCTCAGGAGAGGCACACAGGCGGCCAATCACTGGCAAGGAGGTGGAGCTTGGAGAGGAGGAGCCGAGCGGCACCGCGAAGATGGAGCGAGTGAAGAGGAGGAGAGCGGCCGGAGAAGGAAGACAGCTGACAGGTAAGTGTGTACCATGGGAGAGGGAGGGAGCGAGCGAGCCCAGGCTGGAGCAGGGGTCAGCAAGGTAAGTATCATTGGTGTCAGTGGGAATAGTGCCCCATCATTGGTGTCACTAATACCAATAATGGGGCACTATTCCTCCCACTGACACCAACGATGGGGCACTATTCCTCCCACTGACACCAACGATGGGGCACTATTCCTCCCCCAAGTGACACCAACGATGGGGCACGATTCCTCCCCCACTGACACCAAGGATGGGGCACGATTCCTCCCCCCACTGACACCAAGGATGGGGCAGTATTCCTCCCCCCACTGACACCAAGGATGGGGCAGTATTCCTCCCCCCACTGACACCAAGGATGGGGCAGTATTCCTCCCCCCACTGACACCAAGGATGGGGCAGTATTCCTCCCCCCACTGACACCAAGGATGGGGCAGTATTCCTCCCCCCACTGACACCAAGGATGGGGCACTATTCCTCCCCCCACTGACACCAAGGATGGGGCACTATTCCTCCCCCCACTGACACCAAGGATGGGGCACTATTCCTCTCCCCACTGACACCAAGGATGGGGCACTATTCCTCCCCCCACTGACACCAAGGATGGGGCACTATTCCTCCCCCCACTGACACCAAGGATGGGGCACTATTCCTCCCCCCACTGACACCAAGGATGGGGCACTATTCCTCCCCCCACTGACACCAACGATGGGGCACTATTCCTCCCCCAAGTGACACCAACGATGGGGCACTATTCCTCCCCCACTGACACCAAGGATGGGGCACGATTCCTCCCCCCACTGACACCAAGGATGGGGCAGTATTCCTCCCCCCACTGACACCAAGGATGAGGCAGTATTCCTCCCCCCACTGACACCAAGGATGGGGCACTATTCCTCCCCCCACTGACACCTATGATGGGGCACTATTCCTCCCCCCACTGACACCTATGATGGGGCACTATTCCTCCCCCCACTGACACCTATGATGGGGCACTATTCCTCCCCCCACTGACACCTATGATGGGGCACTATTCCTCCCCCCACTGACACCAATGATGGGGCACTATTCCTCCTCCCACTGACACCTATGATGGGGCACTATTCCTCCTCCCACTGATACCAATGATGGGGCACTATTCCTCCCACCGACACCAATGATGGGGCACTATTCCTCCCACTGATACCAATGATGGAGCACTATTCCTTCCACTGACACCAATGATGAGGCACTATTCCTCCTACTGACACCAATGATGAGGCACTATTCCTCCCACTGATACCAATGATGGGACACTATTCCTCCCACTGATACCAATGATGGAGCACTATTCCTTCCACTGACACCAATGATGGGGCACTATTCCTCCCACTGACACCAATGATGGGGCACTATTCCTCCCACTGACACCAATGATGGGGCACTATTCCTCCCACTGACACCAATGATGGGGCACTATTCCTCCCACTGACACCAATGATGGGGCACTATTCCTCCCACTGATACCAATGATGGAGCACTATTCCTCCCACTGACACCAATGATGGGACACTATTCCTCCCACCGACACCAATGATGGGGCACTATTCCTCCCACCGACACCAATGATGGGGCACTATTCCTCCCACAGATACCAATGATGGGGCAATATTCCTCCCATTGATACCGATGATGGGACACTATTCCTCCTCCCACAGACACCTATGATGGGGCACTATTCCTCCCACTGATACCAATGATGGAGCACTATTCCTTCCACTGACACCAATGATGAGGCACTATTCCTCCTACTGACACCAATGATGAGGCACTATTCCTCCCACTGATACCAATGATGGGGCACTATTCCTCCTACTGACACCAATGATGAGGCACTATTCCTCCCACTGATACCAATGATGGGGCACTATTCCTCCCACTGATACCAATGATGGGACACTATTCCTCCCACTGATACCAATGATGGGACACTATTCCTCCCACTGATACCAATGATGGGGCTCTATTCCTCCCACTGACACCAATGATGGGGCACTATTCCTCCCACTGATACCAATAATGGAGCACTATTCCTCCCACTGACACCAATGATGGGACACTATTCCTCCCACTGACACCAATGATGGGGCACTATTCCTCCCACTGATACCAATGATGGGACACTATTCCTCCCACTGGCACCAATGATGGGGCACTATTCCTCCCACTGACACCAATGATGGGGCACTATTCCTCCCACTGACACCAATGATGGGGCTCTATTCCTCCCACTGACACCAATGACGAGGCACTATTCCTCCCACTGACACCAATGACGGGGCACTATTCCTCCCACTGATACCAATGACGGGGCACTATTCCTCCCACTGACACCAATGACGGGGCACTATTCCTCCCACTGACACCAATGACGGGGCACTATTCCTCCCACTAACACCAATGACGGGGCACTATTCCTCCCACTGACACCAATGACGGGGCACTATTCCTCCCACTGACACCAATGACGGGGCACTATTCCTCCCACTGATACCAATGACGGGGCACTATTCCTCCCACTGACACCAATGACGTGGCACTATTCCTCCTACTGCAAAATTACAGTTATGAAGTAGCAACGAAAATAATTTTATGGTTGGGGGTCACCACAACATGAGGAACTGTATTAAGGGGTCGCGGTGTTAGAAAGGTTGAGAACCACTGATGTATACCTAAAGTATGTTAACACATTTTAAAACGTTTCCTCAGTTTGTCATTTCTTTTATTTTCAGAGATGTCTGCTCAGCCCAGATATTAAACTTGAAACACTGAAGGAAGATATAAGAGATTTTTTGAAGTCCTCTGGTATGTTATCCTTTAATTTCTTTGTGTTTAACATTGTTTAGTTAGATTGTAGATTCAAAGGGCATACCATGCATACATTAACACCAGGATGAAGCATATTCCCCTTTGTTTTGCATTAATCTCAGATTAAGTAACCTTCATTATACCTTAGTTCAGCCCTCAAAATTTCCACTCGCCTGCTCGCATTGGGCGAGTGGAAATAAGGTGGGGGCGAGCAGCGCCGGGACTGGGGGGGGTGTGTGGGAGGGCGGCGACAAGCAGCGATCTCCTGTATGGCTTTCAATGAAAGCTGCACAGGGGGAGGCAGAGCAGATCCAGCCTCTCTCTCCTTCTACTACCTCTCCTTCTCCTCCCTCCTTCAATGAAGCAGCTGAAAGCCGCGGGAGGGAGCGGAGGAGAACAGCTTTCAGCTGCTTCATTGAAAGCCATACAGGAGATCGCTGCTTGTCCACGCTGCACAAATCATACCTGATCGTTCCATTTCTTTCCTGCCCCCCTGCTGTGTGCTCCTTAGTGCCCAGCCCCTCCTTCTGTCCACTACACCAATAGGAGACTGGGCACTAAGGAGCATACAGCAGGGGGGTGGAGGGGTAGGAAAGAAACGTAATGATCAGGTATGATCTGTGCAGCGGTGACAAGCAGTGATCTCCTGTATGGCTTTCAAGTAAGCAGCTGGAAGCAGCATCTGCTCCTCTCCCTCCTGTGGCTTTCAGCTGCTTCATTGAAGAAGGAGGGAGGAGAAGGAGAGAGAAGCTGGATCTGCTCTGCCTCCCCCTGTGCCCTCCCACACTGCAGTCAATGCAGCTTTAGAGGATGTGTGGGCAGGAAATTAAACACAGAGCAGCCAACCGCTCTGATGCTTTTGAATGAGCATGTGAGTCCGACCGACCTTCCTTCCTTCCACCCACCCTTTCTTCCTCTCTTCCTTCCTTCCACTCCTCCCTTCCACCCCTCCCTTTGTTCCTCCCAGCCACCCTTCCCTTCTTTCGTTCGTTCCTTCCTACCTTTCTTCCACCCCTCCCTTTCTTCCTTCCACCTCTCTTTTCCACCTCTCCCTTTGTTCCTTCCAGCCACCTTTCCTTTCACCACTCCCTTCCTTCCTTCCACTCCTCCCTTCCTTCCCCCTCTCCCTTCCTTCCTTTCTTCCTTCCACCTCTCCCTTCATTCCTTCCAATCTCCCTTCCCTTCCTTCGTTCCTTCCTTCCACCCACCCCTCCCTTCCCTCTGATCCTTCCTTCCACCCCACTCCTTCCTTCCTTCCTTCCACCCACCTTTCCTTTCTTCTTTCCACACACCCCTCCCTTCCTTTCTTCCACCCATTCCTTCCTTCTTCCCCTCCCTTCCTTCCTTTCTTCCACCCCTTCCTTCCCTTCCTTCCATCCTCCCCTCCCTTCCCTTCAATCCTTCCTTCCACCCACCCACCCCTTCCTTCCACCCCTCCCTCCCTTCCTTTCTTCCTTCCTTCCACCCACCCCTCCCTTCCACCTCTCCCTTAGTTCCTTCCAGCCACCCTTCCTTTTTCCACTCCCTTCCTTCCTTCCACCCCTCCCTTCTTTCTTCCTTCCACCCCTCCCTTCGTTTCTTCCAGCCACCCTTCCCTTCCCTTCCCTTCCTTTGTTCCTTCCTTCCACCCATCCCTCCCTTCCTTCCCTCTCTCTTTCTTTTTTTCCTCCCTCTCTTCCTTCCATTCCTCCTATCCTTCTTTGCTTCCACCCCTCTCTCCCTTCCTTCCACCCTTCCCTTCCTTTCACCCCTCCCTTCCTGCCTTACTTCCACCTCTTCCTCCCTCATTTCTTTTCACCCCTCCCTCCCTTCCTTCCACCCCTCCCTTCCTTCCACCCCTCCCTTCCACCCCTTTCTCCCTTTCTTCCACCCCTCCATCCCTTCCTTCCTTGCACTCCTCCCTTTCTTTCCATTTCCTTTCTTCCTTCCTTCATTCTGCATAAAACAATTAACAGTGCCATTTCATGAGATCATTTATGAGGGCTTGTTTAGGGGTGGAATTAGGGGCGGGGCAGGTTAAGGATTGGGTGGGGCAACTGGTGGCAAGTACCTCTTAAGTCCTGGCTAGTAGCTCAGGACTTGAAATTTTGAGCCGTGCTGTAATTCATTATCAGTCTGTTAGTTACGTGGTTTTCAGTAATGTTATGAAATGGTATTATCACTGTAATAAAATAATTTGTTGATTCCCACACAGTTCATAGGTACAAACAAGGAGCTATGTACCTTATACATTCATCTAATAGTTTTTCTGGAAAAGTTTGGTCCCAGGTGTGTCTAAAATGTATGTTTGGACAAAATAAAAAACAACATACACAGTAGATCTTTGCAATACATGTATGTGTAACAATGGTTGGTGTCTTTAAAAAACATGGCAAGTACAGAAAAATACCTAATGATCTTGCCAGAAATGCACTCGGCTCTTAAAGTGGAGCTAAACCTGTCAATTTAACTTTTCCTAAACTGGTACATTCAAGGCATGCTGTAAATGACAATTATCACAGTTGCTTGTGCTCTGAACTAAACTGTCAAACCATGAAATGGCTGCATCATTATGATCACATGTGTATCACCATCTGATAAGATGGCAGCTTCCTTAGCTTTAAAGAATAAAAGGGTTTCGTTTTTTACTTTAACCTTTTGCTGACAACACAGTGCCTCTGTTGCACTGAAATCCAAAGAAGTTTTGTCATCTCTGCCCAATTCTCCTCTATTCGATTATAAGACACCCCCTTTTTCTCATCTCCATAACATAGGGGGATGTGTCCAGTCGCCAGCAGGGGGGAAGTGGGCAAGGCTGACACTGGGGATTTCAGTGCTGCAGAGTCAGTACTATCAGCTCCATAAAGGAAATTGAGAACGCGCTAGATTTCTGACAGAATCAATGGGTAATTTTCTTTGCTTGAAGTATTTTAATTAGGAAATTGCATTAGCAATAGTAATACATTAATTCTAATATTCTGAGCTCCATCCAGGGGCCAAAATGCAATATAGTTTTCTGAAATAGCTCAATGGGAAAATTTACCACATTTTGGCCACTAGATGGGGATGTCAATCATTGATATTAAAGTATTAACCCCTTCCTGCCCAAGGGTAAAACAAATGTTAAAGTGGTAGTAAAGTCTGCTTTTTAACTTGTACCTACAGGTAAGCCAATAATGAACCAAATAATAAAAACAAATGACACCAAAGACTGTAAATAAATAGGCCAGCATATGAACAGAAAAAAAAGAGGCATCAAAACCCAAAGTTGGCACAACATTCCAGTATATACATGATAACTCTAAATATTGTTAAAATATTGTTAAATTATATAAAATACAAATCAAGTGATGTCCAGAATACTTAGTCTAATTAACATATAATGTTAAAAAAATTAAGAAAATATGGGATTAACATTACTAACCTTCTTCTGACAATGCTAGTTACCTGGTTGTTTCTTTTTTCATTACTTTCTAAGAAACTGATCCAGAACAAGCATGCATATGAAATAAATCAGAGTAAAATCACAATTTTTGATCTGCATCGTTTTTTTCAGAACAGTGACTAAGAATGTTCTAAATCCATGGGGTCACCATTACAACCAGGGTAGTAATTGAACATCTTAAATAAATAACTTTCTGCTCAAGAAGCTTTCACTTTTACATATTGCACAAGAAATTCTAAAGCCTTCTCCAAACAATACTGTAATCTTGTGCAATAATAATTTCTAGAATACCCAATGTTCTTCAACAAAAAGTTGCTTAGGTTACATTGGAGAGTATATTTGATATAACTAATACCTTTCTTCATTCATTTTTTTCAGGTTGGGAGAAAAAACTTCAAAATGCCGTATACCGTGAACTTACTGTGTGAGTAAAGCTTGTTGAGAAAGAATGTTAATTAAAGTAGAACTATATGCAATTTTGTTTTTCATTTTAGATAGAACAGGGTAGGGTTATACCCCTGTCAGATTTTTTTTCACCATCTGTGTCCCATTGCAGAGATTTCCCTTCACTTCCTGTCCCATAGCCAAATAGGAAGTGGGGTGAAATCCCTGTAAATTAAGAGACTTCCTTGGGGACCCCTAGGTGACCAGAACTAGTGTCCCATTGGAAGATTTCCCCTCTATTACTTTTCTGGGGACAACCCAAAATTTGGGATTTTGTTTTACTTTCAATTTCAATAATAATGGTAAACAGGACAAGTAGAGAGGTTGACTCTCCTTAACGGGGGCACAGACCGCAATAAAACTGACAGATGTCCTAATCCTATTGTACTCTATCCAAAACTAAATAAAAGTTTTGCCTTTAGTTGTATATTATTGTGTTGCAAATGTTTTAGGGCAGTTCGCACTAGTCCGGGCCGTGCGGCCCGCATTTGCGTGGGCATGACAGCCCGTTCATTTGAATGGGCTGCTGTGCCCTTGTTTCACGTAAGGCAAAGGTGCATGCACTTTTTCCAAATTGCATCTGCACGGAAAACACATGGTCCTTTTGACTATGTGGTTTCCGCGCAGTTCCCGAACCCACGATTGCGCTGTGGGATGAGATGGGTGGGGGTGCCATTCACCCCCATGCGTCTCACAAGATAAACATGATGCGGTTGTGGGTGCAGGAATTGATATGATTCCCGCATCTGCAACTAGCCCACAATGTGAGGGCTAGTGTGAACCTAGCCTTATGTACGTGATATGGGTGTTTAAGGCTGTCAGTCAATGCAAAACAGTGTTTTCAAAGAGGTAATCTCCAGAGGAATAACACAAAATAGGGACATTACCAGGACTGGAGTCCCATGGATATCAATTTTTCAGGTCGCTCTGGTAGTAGATGTTTATGTGCCATTCAGGTACAAGACCAATGAATGTTAAATTAAAATTGTTCTCTTGCAAAGTGAAAGAAAAGACTGCTGCACACTAGATAGGTCTCTAGCGTCCACGTTATTGTAGAAACTGTCCACAGACATGACCATGGCAATCTTCTCCCTAGGACCACCCTTCACCCTTTTGGGTAAAGTTCTACTTTAACTGTCTTTTAATACCTGCTTTGAATATTACAGTGAGCACCACACCGTGCTGTACACACAGGAGTGGTAACATTGTGTTGTGTTAAAAATTAAGCAGCATGTTTCTTTCATGAAGCATTGCCGCTTGTCAACTGCTTCCATTAAATTCAAGGGTGACACAATGTAACCGTGCCTTTAGAATTTAAAATGCATTAGTGAAGCATTTATAAAATGTTAGCTGGGTGCTGGAGGAGAGGAGTGGAGGTTCCTGTATCCCAGAATGCAATGGGAAATAATAGAGAACTAGGACAGAGCAGATCCAGCCAATTCCTGTTTGTACAGAGTAGCTGTGTGGTAACACCATTTGCTTCTGTGTGCAGGGAAAAGCATCGACCAGCCAGCAATACTGCCAGTGCCAGGCAGGAGCAGAGGAATTCAGCATTATTGCCCGTGGCAAGGCTTTTTTTTTTCAGCAAAGTGTCAGTGCCAGCAAACGACCATGCCAGCAAGTTTTGGTGCCAGCAAACGACCATGGCAGCAAGTTTTGGTGCCAGCAAACGACCATGGCAGCAAGTGTTGGTGCTAGCAAGTGACTGTGACAATCATTCCATGATCATCTTAGACAAGGCCAGGTGTCAAAGAAATAAAAATATATGAATCCATCTTGCAGATAATTCACAAAAATGCCTGCTATCACACCACAACCTAAACACCCCTCACAGCAGACCATTTCCTCTACATCTTTTCCCCTTTAAGCACTTCTTTCTAGAAAAACAACACTTTCATGGGTTTAACAAAGCTGCATTAATGCTTTTTCAGTGCTTCAAAAACGCATCCTAAACACTAAAGGCGTGTTAATGAACGTTGTTTCGTGAAGACACGTGAATGAGCTCATGCCTGTCTCAGCCTGCTTCCTGCATTTGGAGTTCAAATGGCACCAGGAAGCAGCAGTCCCTTTAATTGGTCGGATCTCTAGCAACGTGGATATAAAACTAACATATGCCTCCCTGACAACTCCCTGCCCACAGTATCTAGGCCCACTGAGCTAATAAATACAGCTATGAAATACTAGCTGCACAGTGTCACTAATTTATCTTTGGATAGATGAATACCAGGATGATGCCCTAGGAGAGTCATTATCACAATGGCCAGTAACCCCTGTGGGGTTAATTGGTCATAATAGTTTTAGTACAATCTCCAGAGTAATCCTCTCCACAGAACAAGCCAGAATCAGACATCAAAGCCATTAATACATTAATACATTTCTATGACTAAATCTTCCTTGGACAAGTCTTCTTGTGTGAAAGCATGGACATGATTTTCAGGGTCTGTTCTAAGAACAGACTGAAGCCACTTGTATGTGTGCATGTTTTTTGAGACTGACCATGCTAATGTAGAGTACAGACCCCCTTTCCTTCAGTCTACCTTTACCCCCCTATCCTTTCAATTTATTGTATCCCTATTTGTAAATAAACCAAATCATTTAAGTTCCAGTTGTCCTTTATGTAGAATGCGTGCTTGGTTTAGGGTTCCTTGATTTTAATGAACTGTAAACCTCCCCTTTAGCTAAGATCCGAATGCTTTTTATTTATTTATTTACTTTAAATAATAAACTTTTATTGAAAAATTAAACAGAAACAACAGGATCCAGTTGTGGTCATTACAAATGTCTGTGATACAGAGATTTACTAGGCCATGAAGGTCAATTACCATGCAGAGATAAAAAAGAAAGTAATAAAGAACAAAACCAAAACTAAGCCCCCTCCGAGAAGCACTATGCAAGATTAACCAAAAACAAAAAGGAAATGGACCCAAGGTCTCGGCACAGGCTCTTGGCACCTGATCCAAACTAGTGTAGATTATTTAGGAGACAACTCCTGACAAGTGGTATTATGGTCTGCAGAAGCAGATGGCAGTCATTTCCTTGTTTTCCTTCCTTGCCTATTTGTTAAGTTGCTTTCCAGTTAGCGGAAAATGCGGTTCAGGGGGGTGAAGTGCAGTTGAGAAAAACAGTTGCTGAAGCAAGATCCAAATCTTCTCTTGTACGATGGATGGATTTGACCAGGCCCTCCATGTGATGGCAAGGGCCTGAGGGAACATGGTGGGGCAGTGTCCTCCTAGAGCATCTGAGATATGTCCATCTAAAGAAAATTCATGGAGACATGCATCCAACTCCATAGTGAGTAATGCTGAGCTTTACTAGTAAAGTGCATCTGGCTGCAGTGTCTTCCATGTTCCACCCTCTATGTATATACCAACTCCAAGAAAAATGTCTTGCTGTAAGAAAGAAATTTCAGTGAAGGGTAACTCCACTTTTGTTCGGGGGAAAAATTAGCAAAAATTTTATATATATATATATATATATATATATATATATATATATATATATATATGTGTGTGTGTTTACAAATGCAACACCATTAATATTGTAATTGAATATTATTAAAAATGATCTTCCTTTCCAGTCTGCAGTGTTGTAATTTTCTATAAAATGCAATACAATATGGCTACCTGCGGGTGTTCTGTATACAGTGCATAGAATTCCCCCCAGATATGTTGTTCCTGTATGTGTGATGAGCTCACTGATTTTCCCTAAAGTCTGCACTAAAATACAAGTCAGATTTTGAGCATTCACTGCAACAAAAATGTAAGTTTTGGTGAAATACTCCCAAATGAAATCACATCTAAAGGGATGCACACTGCAGTTTTTCTCATTGGAACCGTGTAGGCTGGTAGATAATTATGAAGTCACTCCTATACAGATTCACTCTGTACATGAACACAGACAAACATCTATTTCTTCAGAATAAAAAAAGGTAGGAATCTGCAACAAAGTTTGTTAAAATCCTTGCAATGTACAGTGGGGATCGAAAGTTTGGGCACCCCAGCTAAAAATTTGTATTAATGTGCATAAAGAAGCCAAGGAAAGATGGAAAAATCTCCAAAAGGCATCAAATTACAGATTAGACATTCTTATAATATGTCAACAAAAGTTACATTTTATTTCCATCATTAACACTTTCAAAATAACAGAAAACAAAAAAATAGCATCTGCAAAAGTTTGGGCACCCTGCAGAATTTATAGCATGCACTGCCCCCTTTGCAAAGCTGAGACCTGCCAGTGTCATGGATTGTTCTCAATCATCGTCTGGGAGGACCAGGTGATGTCAATCTCAAAGGTTTTAAATGCCCAGACTCATCTGACCTTGCCCCAACAATCAGCACCATGGGTTCTTCTAAGCAGTTGTCTAGAAAACTGAAACTGAAAATAGTTGAAAAATGGATTCAATAAAATTTCAGCAAATTTTGGATGGTAACTTGATGCCATCTGTGAAAAAGCTGAAGTTAAAGAGAGGATGGCTTCTACAAATGGATAATGATCCTAAACACACCTCGAAATCCACGGGGGGATTACATCAAGAGGCGTAAATTGAAGGTTTTGCCATGGCCTTCACAATCTCCTGACCTCAAGATAATTGAAAATCTATGGATAGACCTTAAAAGAGCAGTGCGTGACAGACAGCCCAGAAATCTCAAAGAACTGGAAGACTTTTGTAAGGAAGAATGGGCAAAGATACCTCAAACAAGAATTGAAAGACTCTTGGCTGGCTACAAAAAGCGTTTACAAGCTGTGATACTTGCCAAAGGGGGCAGTACAAGATATTAACTCTGCAGGGTGCCCAAACTTTTGCAGACGCCATTTTTTTGTTTTCTGTTATTTTGAAAGTGTAAATGATGGAAATAAAATCTTTTGTTGACATATTCTAAGAATGTCTAATCTGTAATTTGATGCCTTTTGGAGATTTTTCCATCTTTCCTTGGCTTCTTTATGCACATTAATACAAATTTTTAGCTGGGGTGCCCAAACGTTCGATCCCCACTGTACCTAGATCACCCAGGGAGGATTTTTTTTTTTCTTGACAGAAGTGGAGTTGCTCTTTAAGTGTTTTTTGAGTATTGTGAAATATTTGTGTCTTTTACTCCAACGCACCACTGAGGAACTTGGTAGTAACAGAGCAGGTGGCAGTAGAAGCGGAGGTAAACAAATGTATTGTGAAAACCAGCGAATGGCAGAATGAAAAAGTGCAGATCCTTTACAGTTGTGGCCACACCTAAAGAGTATATGAGTGTGATTCCCCTTCCTCTGAGGTCCACTAAGGTGAAGGAGACCTGCTGTGGCAACATGTTAGGTGTTGTACGACATCAGAGATGAGCACTGCTGCTCAGTCTCTAGGAGCGTGCATGCCAGGGTGGGTATATTTTCTAGGTGTTTTTTATTTCTATCTGTGACCCAAATAGGGAGATATTTCCTAATGTCTTAATTGTCCCTGTGATGCCCAAACAGGAAAAGGTGGGTGTGATTGTCACTGGAACAGGAAGGCATGCACAGCAATAAAATATTTGCCAAAAGTTCTAACCTTTCCTTGTGCTACTAAAAATGTACCCCTGTTGGAGAAGTTTCCCTTCACGTCATTTCCCAAAAGTAAAATTTATTGCATTGTGTCGAGAGCATATGTGAGCTTAACAATGTATTAAAACGTTATTTTTTAACACAAAAGTACTGAGTCAGTGCTGACAGGAATATTTTGTCTTTCACAGACTTCCAGCTCCTTGTCACCCAGCAGCACCAGCTGAACACATTAAGGAACCTCTGGCCTACATGAGAAGGGCTCAGGTAGATAGTAAACACTTGAATGGATAAACATGCATCTGTATCCATTTATATCAATCTATTCCATTGTCAGTAATGGATATTGTGTCTTCCTAATATGACCTTTAATGCAAATATGTCTGGTTGTTCCAACTCCTCTGTAACCTGATCATTTTATTAGGTTTTGTTGAGCGTGAGTAAAATAAGAATGGAAGCCAACTTTTAATTATATACTAACATGCACAGAATACAATACTTGATTATCAGGTAGAAGGTACAATTTTCTGCTCAGTATGGTTGAGTTAAAGGACTCCATTAGCTCACTTAGTGACCCTAGAGATTTTCTTTTTTTGTGCAATAAATAGCTTTATTTAATTGTTGTTGAGCAGACGTACTTTTAATTTCTCTTTTAATTTATTATAAGGACCTCAGTTTTTATTATGTTGCTTAAACTAATTAAATAAATAGCTGGATAGAATAATTTTCATATTAGTATTTTAGTTGTAGTAGTGTTGATTTAAAGAGTTTAAAGAATGTATATTTGAAATAATTGTTTGCATTGCTGATATAAATTGACATCTAGAATGAGTTACACAATGCATGTTCACTGTTATACGTTAGGAGTACGTAATGTAACCTATAAATGAAAGGATCCCAGAGTAACATTAAAGCAGAACTTCACCCTAAACTAGAAGTTACACTTTTTAGGAATCCCCCTCCCCTCTAATATTATTGACACTTTTTTGGGGGGTGAGGTGGGAACTGGTGGGAGCTCCCAATTCTGCTGGAATTGCCTAGGCAATTACACTGGAAGTTCTCCTTCCCCCGCCCGCAACCTCTTGGGACACATCACAGGAGGGACTATTCAGAAGGTGCAGTGTGACTCCTGCATACGCAGTGGGAAGCTGGCTGTAAAGCCGCAAGGAGTCAAAGCCGGCTTCCCACAATAAACATGCCTGCATCGGGGACCCAAAGACCGGCGAAGAACTGGGTGAGGATGGTGCTGGATCCTTGCACAGGTAAGTATCCTTTTATTAAAGTAGAGCTATACGGTTCTCAATCTCATCCAAATAATATTACATCCATTTGTACCTCCTCCGGAGTACTTACTCAAGATCCAGCTGAAATTATAGATACTTTTCACTCCTATCGATTTTATATAGCAGTAATGTACACTAGGAGCCTATATCCTGTCTGAGTTCCTAGACACACTTAAACTTCCTTGTCTTATGGTAGCTGACCGGAAGCTGTTAAACTCCTCCATCACATTGGAAGAATTAAGGCGATAGCTGAAGCTCCTAATAACAAGAGTTAGATGACCTTCCATCTGAAATTCATAAACAATTTGGAGATGTTCTATTACCGGAGGTCCTGAGGGTATTGAATTCGGCCATCGATTTACAACAACTCCCAGACTTTATGAATATGGGGGGCTTAACAGTAATACTGAAACCAGGACAGGATAGTCTACACCCTGAATCTTACCATTCTATTTCTCTCCTAAATTCAGACGTTAAATTGTTGGCAAAAGTGTTGGCTAATCGCCTTGGTAAGGTCATGCAACGTCTGGTACACTCTAACCAGTCCCACTATACCCACTAGATCAACAGAGATTAACATCCGCAGACTATTCTTAAACCAGCAATTGCCATCTGATAATATGGGCAACAGGGCCATTCTATCACTGGATGCAGCTAATGCGTTCAATAGTGTCGGATGCCCCTACCTCTGGGAAGTACTGACACTTTATGGACTTGGTGACCATTTTATTGGTTGAATAAAACTATTATACTCTGCCTGCAAGCCACTATGCTGATTAATGGCGCTCTTCCTGATTCCTTTCCTCTTCGCGGGGGAACACATCAGGGATGTCCTCTTTCCCCTTTTCTGTTCGCTTTGATGATAGAGCCACTGGCTGCTGCCATATGCCAATATGGTATGTGATACCATAGTTGGATTTAAGATGGAAAATGCAGAAGACAAATTAGCTCTTTATACTGATGATGCCTTGATAATTTTGGGTGACACAGATGGATCCTTATTCTCTCCTTTGTCCATTATCTCTACATTTGGGACCTTTTCAGGATTTTTGATTCATTGGGAAAAATCTGTTTTTCTTCTGCCCTCTCCCCTAGATACACTGCAAGTGACACTTCCCCCTTGTGCTCAGCAGATAAAAATTGTGCAGGACTTTAAATATCTAGGAGTCTGGGTTTATCCCAAGATACATTATTATTTATAATATAATTTGCAGCCATTATTGGAAAAATTTAAACTTAAGAGTAAAATATGGTGTAAACTAACTTTGTCTGTTGTGGGATGTAAAAACCTTATCAAGGTGATCTGGGCTCCCCAGGTGTTATTCATTTATCTGGGTTACATAGAAGTGGTTTAAAAAGATTGATTCACTTTTTCGGATTCTAATTTGGAAAGGGAAACAACCCAGGTACTCCTGCACATATTTCAGCTACCTATAGATGGGGGAGGATTGGCAGTCCCCTCTACTTGGCTGTACTTTTTTCACCCCAGCTGCAACACGTTTCCGGTTGGGGGGCTATAAATAACACGGATCCCATCCAAGCTGTATTGTTATCAGGATCTGACCAATGTCACTTAATAGCTCAGCTGGAAGTGGGTATATTCTGGAATTCTCCTCAGAATCCTACATTCTTACTTGTGGCCAAGGTTTGGGATGAGATGAAGTGAATTATGAGATATGAAGGGATTTCAAGATATCACCCCATTTGGGAGGGAGGCAGGCTGAAAGAACTTAAACTGCAGGGCTTTGCTGGTTGGCACTCTAGAGGTGTCCAGTTCCTATTACAGTTATATAATAATGACCAGCTGAAATCCTTTTACAGATCTACAACCTGAATTTGCTATTCCATCATGCAGATTCTTTCAATACTTTCAGGTACACCATACCCCCTTTACTCAGGCCAAGAATACTACCCTCAAGTAAATTAAAACCCCACTAATAGATCTGCAGGCATCAGCTACCAACAAGAAGGGTCTTATATCTTCTCTCTACAAATCTCTTTTAAATTGCTCTCAATGCAATATATATTTATCTGGCAGAAGAGGATGGTCTGCGGATGTCCTTATCATCGATGGGGAAATCTATTCTAGAGCAATTTCCCTTGGTGATCGTATCTCCAACTCAGAAATTGTTACAACTCTTTGTCATACACTGGGTCCAAAGAATGACACATACTCTATACAGATGGTGCCGTAGAGATACACCAGACTGCCCTCACCAAAAGGGTTCCCCAGCAGACCAATTGCATGTCTTTTGGAAGTGCCCCAAAACGAGTGCGTTACTAGAGTACTATTATTACTACTGTCAGTCAAGTATTTCAGATGATTTTACTTAGTGATCCTCTGACATGTATATTAGGGTATCTAGATGAAGAATGTTATACTCTGTAAGTCAGGAATGTAATCACCCGACTTTTATTTTTGGCACAGGAATGTATTTGGTTGAAATGGTTTGCACAGTCACCCCCCAAATTTGAGGACTGGCGAACACAAGTCAGTACAAACTTATTGAAGGAGAAACAGATTCTGAAACAATGTGGTACTTTCCTTAAGTTTAATAAACTATGGAATCCGTGGCTTCAGACTCTGGGTCTACCCCCATTAACCCTTGTATCCCTGTGGCTACTGCAATGTTAGCAATAATATGATTCTATTCTCTCCTTAAATGAGGATTGTGCCAGGGTGGTCTCAGACTACTTAACGATATGTGAGGTAGAGAGGTATTCCTCCCATGGTACATTAGCTTTTATTAGTAAGCTCAGAAGTGGGCTATTTTCTATTCTAATGGATTGACCAGTTGTTAATTACTTGTTATGCCTCACTGCTCTATTGACTATTTTGGTAGAAATGGTTCTTTTTATCCATTCTTAGCTTATCTAATATACTGTATGGCAACCTTGCTGGTAGGATATGCTATACTATTGTTATTTCTTGCTTGATTTCAGAATAATACAGTGTAAGTGTGATCACCATTGTACAATGTGAGGAGTCAAGTACTAGACTTTATTGTCGTATTTTGTACTCATCTCACTTGTGTGTTTTTTATTTTGTTTGGTTTTGTTGTATGTAAACCGATAAAACCTTTAATAAAAAAGTTTTATGGAAAAATAAAAAGCAGAACTATAGGCAAAACTTGTTTTCATTTTGGATAGAGTAAAGGAGTCCCATTACGGTGATTTACCTTCACTTTTGTCTCATAGCCAAAGGAAGTGAGAAGAAATCCCTGCAAATTTAAGGAATTCCTTGGGGACCCCCCAGGTCATCATAACTGGTGTCCCCAGTGGAAGATTTTCCCTCTATTACTTCTGTGGGGCCAACCCAACATTTGTGATTTTCTTTTACTTTCACTTTCAAAGATAACGGTAAACAGTACAAATAGAGAGGGTGAACAAACACGAGAGCACAAACAATAAAAATCTGACAGTGTGTTCTAATCCCTCTCCATCTGCCTTTAGTTAAACTTTAAAAGTCAGCAGCTACAGTATTTATAACTGCTCACTTTTATTTCTTTTTCTAATGACTGAAGATCCTCTTTAAATGACAAGTTTACCTTTGGGAAAATGTAACATGTTCCCAATGCTGCAACCGCTGCCCGATTTCCCGTACTGGCTGTCACTCTTTAAAAACAGCGTGACCATGCGGGGCTCCTCCCACATGGCCGCATCATTCATTCACAGAGTTCTGTAAATGAATGAATTACAAGTCTCGACAATCTTAATGCCTGTCGGCTTGTGGTTCTCACTGAACTACCACGGCTCTGTAAGCGCTGTGGTAGTTCATTGAGTCTTCCTGTCAGAAGTATCGGCTTGCCTGTATGGGGATGTACAAACAAGCAGATACATTGACAGTTTGCAGGAGACCTGCATGGAATCAGTGATCGGCTGATCGCTGGTGTAATGCTTTACTGGCTCCTACTACAAAAAATTAAATGCACATTTTTTTACCTGCAAAAAAATGTTCATTTAATATTCTTTGTAGAAAGGTGAACTTTTCCTTTAAGTAGATGACCTCAGTCTTGTCTACAATAATGTTTCAGTAGTGGCAGAAAGATGGTTTATTATGAAAAATTCTGGTTTACGAGCAGCAAAAGGCCAGATTTGAAAAAGAAAAGGGTATAAACATAATGGTTATATCAATACACACTTTTGCAAAAGTGTGGGCATACCCTGTCATGTGTAATGCTTTATTGGTATCTAATGAATTTACTCTGCAGTGAACACTCTTAAACCTGCCATGCTAGCTTTTAATGCACATTTACTATTGATTTCCTTAATTTAACAGGATAAATAAACCGAGGTTTTTGCAAAAGACTGGGAACCTTGCCAGTCAGTACTTATCAGCACACCTTTTAAATCACAGCTTTAAAGGATAAGTTCACCTTTTAGAGAAAAATACTAAATGCACATTTTTTTTGCAGGTAAAAAAATGTGCATTTGTTATTTTTGTCTACAGGACCCCAGAGAGCATTGCACCAGTGATCAGTGGATCACTGATGCCATGCAGGTCTCCTGCAGACCTGTCAGAATATCTGCTTGCCATACGGGATGTATGAGCAAGCAGATATTCTGACAGGAAGCTTCAATGAAGTACCACAACCCCTAAGGCTCCCGGGACTTGCAGTTCATTAATTCACGGAAGGTGAACTTATCCCTTAAGCAGACCTTGGATAGTTTGAATTTTGGCGAGTTCAGCAGGGACCGCCCAAGATTCAAACCATCTATGGACAGGCTGATTATACCAAGTTTAGTTGTTGTACAACTTGGGTACAACCAGCCTGTCAGATTTTTCATGAAATTATTGCCATAAATATTGCTATAGCTGCTAGCAATAGTCACTGTGTTCTGGCAGGGATGGCTTCCCCCCTTCCCCTGTCGGGACAACACAACAGCTCCGCTGGGGGGATTCCCCCATCAACACTGACAGCAACCGGTGGTTGCAGGAAAAGAAATGTGCATCATCTATGGTTTTAAGGTGACAAAGTTACCTTTCTATAGATATTGCACGGTTTGTGAGCATTGTCATTTCATGATAGGAAGTGAGCTACTGGGAGAATTACTGGCTAAAAAAAAAAGGCAAAAAAAAGGAAACTAATGGTACACAAAAGTCCATATTGGGCAGTCTTAGATTGTTTTGAGTATATGCACTTTGTTTAGAGATTGTTTACATAAAAATATACAGTGTATCATATGAGCGCTGTATAGTAAAGATACAGCAATTTACACACAGAGTGTGGTAGATACCTCTGCTGTAGATATAAGGCACTTAGTGCTGGTGTTAATAGTTAAAATGAATAATAATGCAATATATAAAGCTGCAGCTAAAAACTGCAATATATAAAGCTGCAGCTAAAAACTGCAATATATAAAATGTTTGTATTTGAATTTAGATATACTTTAATGCAATTCATTTGATCAGACAATCTGTTGTCCAGAGCTTCAATAACCTGGTTTTTATAGAAAGTTGCACTAAAGTAAATAATTTGGCAACCTGAGGAACCTCTGTCCCATGTTTAATAATGAATCAACAAGACACCAACCATAAATTAAAACTTCATCTCAATGGAAATAATGCAATTAAATACTTAACTGGTTTGCTTTTGAATGGACAGTGCCCCAAGAGCAGCACGGTAAACAGTTCACAGTTTATTTAAAGGAGCTCAATGGTCACACCATATACATTTATTTTTTAAATCCGCATTGTAATAACAATGCAAGCAATAGTTACTTTTTACAATGTTTACTTGAAAACTCTCTTTTCATGTTTGGAGTGTTGCCAGTTTGCTGTCTCTTTCCACAACTTCCTGGATTCCCTGCATGCTTTGCAGCTTCTCCTCTGCTGTTTATTTTCAAATTACAAGGACTACATATCCCATGGTACCTTGGTACCTGCAAGTAGTGATTCCTGTACTGACTTCACCTCCTGAAACTCCTCCTCTCAGCACCTCTGTAGTTCAGAAGGCAGTAATGTGTGACATAGCAGTGCCTACTCACTGGGCATAGTGACTATGTGTTACAGAATTCAAGGAGGTAAATGTGTGGGGATCATCACAAAGTACGTTTCCAAGATCATCCAGAATAATAGAAGTAGAAATAATTGAAATACAACGTGGAAATAAATATAGAGTGGGGAAAGTAATTTTTTAATCCCCTGCAGATTTTGTAAGTTTGCCCACTTAGAAAGAAATGAAGGCTCTACAATTGTTATCATAGAAGTATTTTAAATGATAGAGACAGAATATCAACCAGAAATCCAGAAAAAACACAATACAAATCTTATAAATTGAGTTACAGTTCAGTGAGTAAGGTAAGTATTTGATCCCCTACCAACCAACAACAATTCTGGCTCCCACAGACTGGCTATGTGCTCATGCGGTACACAGATTAGTCCTGTCAATTTAAGAAGGTGCTTCTAAGGACACCTCGTTATGTGTATAAAAAAACACCTGTCCACAGAATCTCTTTCTTGGGCACCACCATGGGCAAGACCAAAGAGCTGTCAAAGGACAACAGGGACAAGATTGTAGACCTGCACATGGCTGAATAGGGCTACAAGACCATCAGCAAGAAGCTTGGTGAGAAGGAGACAACTGTTGGAGCGATTATTTGCAAATGTGAAGAAATTCAAAATAACCATCAATCGCCCTCGGTCTGGAGCTCCATGCAAGATTTTGCCTCATGGAGTAAGGGTGGACATGAGAAAAGCAAGGGATCAGCCCATAACTGCATGGATGGAGCTTGTGAATGATCTCAAGGCAGTCGGGACCACAGTCACCAAACAAACTATTGGTAACACAATACGCCGCAATGGATTGAAATCCTGCAGCGCCCACAAGGCCCCCCTCCTCAAGAAAGCACATACACAGGCCAATCTGAAGTTTCCCAATGAACATCTAAATGATTCAGAGAAGAATTGGGAGAAAGTTCTGTGGTCAGATGAGACCATATTTGAGCTCTTTGGCATTTACTCGACTTGCCGTGTTTGGAGGAAGAAAAATTCTGACTATAACCCTAAGAACACCATCCCTACAGTCAAGTATGGAGGTGGAAACATTATGCTTTGAGTCTGTTTCTCTGCTAAAGGTACAGGCCGACTTTGCCGCATTGAGGGGCCAATGGACGGGGCCATGTATTGTAAAATCTTGGATGAGAACATTCTTCCCTCAGCGAGAACACTGAGTATGGATCTTCCAGCATGACAATGACCCAAAACATACCACCAAGGGAACAAAGGAGTGGCTCAAGAAGAAGCACATTAAGGTCATGGAGTGGCCTAGCCAGTCTCCAGACCTTAATCCTAAAGAAAATATATGGAGGTTCCGAAACGACAGCTAAAAATCTTAAGGATTTACAGAAATCATAAAGAAGAGCGGACCATAATCCCTCCTGAGATGTGTGCAAACCTGGTAACCAACTACGACAAATATCTTACCTCTGTGCTTGTCGACAAGAGTTTTTCCACCAAGTACTAAGTCATATTTTGCATGGGGATCAAATACTTATTTTACTCACTGAACTGCAACTCAATTTACAGCATTTGTATCATACGTTTTTTCTGGATTTTTGGTTGATATTCTGTCTCTAATTTTTATCATAGGTGTATTTTAAATGATATAGACCCTTCATTTCAAAATTATTTTTCCCGCTGTATGTTGTTACATTTTGTAATTTGGCGAGTCTTTAAAAAAAACAAAGGCTCAAGTATCTGTAGTTCTATAAATCTAACCTGCCTTCTGCTGATTAAACCCAATTTCCAGCTTATTGATGTTCTCACCTTTTATAAGCACCCTCGGTAGTACACAGCAAGATGCCTAGTAGGAACAAGGACCAACTAGCGCAGGAAGGTTTTCATCTGCAGACTTTCAAAGTTGTTTATCATTTCAGGCAAGCTGGGAGAAAAGAGTACTGAAAAGTTTGAACAGTATGTGCACAGAGCTGAATATTCCCCTTGCACGTAAGGTAAGTTACTTCATAAACCTTGTATAAGTGTGTGTGTGTGTGTGTGTATATATATATATATATATATATATATATATATATATATATATATATATATTACAGTCATGGCCACAAATATTGGCACCCCTGCATTTCTGTCAGGTAATGCACCGCTTCACCCAAAAAATGACACATAAAAGTGGAGAAACAAAAATCCAAGTCTGACACATTCCACGCAGAACCCCAAAAATGGACTGGACAAAATTATTGGCACCCTCAATTTAATATTTGGTATCTGTCAGACAATGCACCACTTCGCCCAGAAAATTGTTGCAATTACAAATGTTTAGGCATTCTTATGTTTATTTATTTTGTTTGTATTGGTATGACAGTGGAGAAGCATAAATATATAAATGTGGAGATACAAAAAGGCAAATCCGACACATTCCACCCAAACCTCCAAAAATGGAGTGGACTTTGGTAGCACACCCCTTGGAAAAAATAACTGAAATCAGTCGCTTCATGTAACCATCAATGAGTTTCTTATACCTTTCTACTGGAATTTTGGACCACTCTTCTTTCACCAACTGCTCCAGGTTTCTCAGATTGGAAGGGTTCCTTTTCCCAACTTCTCTTTTCAGATCTCTCCACAGGTGCTGTATGGGATTGAGATCTGGACTCACTTAGTGGCCAGTTCAGTAACCTCCACCTTGTTTGACTGTAGGGACTGTATTCTTTCCTTTAAAGGCCTCAATGCTTTTCCTGAAAACAGTAGAATGATAGGCTTTACCAAAAAGCTGTAATTGTCTTTCCTGTGTCCACAGCACATTCTCCAAAATGATTTTGGCTTCCTCAGGTAAGTTTTGGCAGACTCCAAACTGGCTTTTTTATGTATCTGTGTCAGCAGTGGGGTCCTCCTGGGTCTCCTACCACAGTGTCCCTTTTCATTCAGATGGCAATGTATAGTGCGAGCTGACACAGTTGCACCCTGTGCCTAAAGATAAGCTTGAATTTGTCTGGAAGTTGATCAAGGTTCTTTATCCATCATTCGAACAATCCTTTGTTGCCATCCTTGATCAAATTTTTTCTTTCATCCACGTCCAGGGAGATTACAGTGACATGGGCTGTAAACTTCTTGACAATATTGCACACAGTGGACACAGGAACATTAGGATCTCTGGAGATGGACTTGTAACCTTGAGATTGTCCATGTTTTTCCACAATTTTTGTTCTCAAATTCTCAGACAATTCTTTGCTGCTCTTTCTCTTCTCCATGCTCCATGTGGTACACAGAGACACACAACAGAAAGGTTGAGTCAATTTTTCACCATATTAACTGGTTGCTGTTGTGATTTCTATATTGTCAGCACCTGTTAATTGATACAGGTGAGTTTTATTACAAATTACAGGAGCATCACAATCTTGGAATGCAATTATTTCTTACAATTTTGAGAAGGTGCCAATAATTTTGTTCAATCAGTTGTTGGAGTTTTGCGTGGAATGTGTCAGATCTGGCTTTCTCCACTTTTCTGTGCCATACCAATACAAGCAAAAGAAATAAACATGAGAATGCCTAAACATTTGTAATTGCAACAATTTTCTGGGCGAAATGGTGCATTATCTGACAGAAATGCAGGGTTTCCAATATTTTTGGCCATATATATAAAAAAAATATGATTTATGTCTGTTATATTGGTAATTATCTAAGGTGACATGTCATTCAAACATGATGCATAAGTGCTTATCACCCACTCCCTGTCTTCTGCAGGAATGGCATATTTCATTACTGTGATATCATACTGCACACTGCCCTGAGGTACTTGTCACCCCTGTGCCCTCTATATTTCTGAAATAGAATGAGACAGAAATACATTTCAGAAGAGCTGTAAAATGTAATTGCAGCTTTCTGAACAAAAATGTAATATTGTTAGACAGAATTATGAAATTGTTAACGCTTTTTATAACTGTGTTGTTCATTTATGCTTTTTGCAGACATTTGAACTATATCTTGTGTTAAATTAAAAATGTATATATTTTCCTTTCTGTCATTTTTCTCCGAATGTCCATAATTTCCAAAATGTTGGTTGGTAGCTTTTTTTCCTATGAGTGTAAGGCACTGCTCGTTACTTTGTTGCCTGCATTATAAGCATGATCCGTTATAAATATACAAATCAGAGAAATGCCTTTTCATCCTATTATCACATGTTTTACATAAACTGAGAATTCATGGTCAGCAGGTCTTTTTTTATATCAATAATTTTTATTGAATATCAGGAATACATACAGTGTTACAAAGGGTAGGTAAGCTAATTAAGATTACAGACAATTCTAAGTCAGTGATATCCATGAAAAACCATGCTGCCATTTGGTAAATCTGATTCTCATTAAGCTATACAAAGTACCATGCAATAAAGAAAGAAAGAAGTATTTAACATCATATCTAAGAGCACCTCTTATGCCTATAGAACACATAGTAAATTAGTGGTTGCACCAATCTGTCCACGGCTTCCATCAGTAGGCGTTTTTAAAAAGGTTGTAAACCCACAAGCAAACATTTGTTATATTGCATCTTACCAGTTCTTTGATGCGATGGCTGTATTTGTTTTCTTTTTTAGGCTTTCTTACCTTTATTTTTATCCAGTGATCCAGCCAGTAGGTCTGTTGTTTTTCAAAAGAACAAGCTCTCCTGAAAATGTAGCAGTTAGTTTACCACTGACAGGAGTGCTTACAAAGATCAACTTGTGTATGTAAAACTTTTATTTCAAAAGAAAAAAAAACATGTGCTTTATCTGCTTGCGTAACTGCATTGTGAGCTGGAGTTTGGGTTCAATTTGTTAGTGTATCCAGAACTGCTACTCCATCTAACACTCCCCCCTTCAAACTGACAATGCTGCTGTCCAACGGTGCCCCCTGTGCTCCTTCTTCCAGAGTGGTGGAATTCTAATACAGGAGGTATGTTACTGGCCAGATCACTAGGTGAAAGCGGAGGGAAAAAAAGCTTAAATGAATAAAAATAATCAAAGGATTAGTAAACAGCAATATATAACATTTTGTGTTTAATACTACTTTAATAAGGCATTACAAAGAGTAAAAATGATGTGCAGTTAACAGGAAGCTATAGCATTTAGTCAGATTTCAATTTACTGTAGCCTGATTAAAGATAAGTTTTAATGGTTACTACAGGTTACTGCACATTGCACATTTCTGTTTGCTTTAAAGAATAAGGTCACTTAAAAAAAAAAAAACAAAAACAAAAAACATAATAGATTCACGTCTTTTTTTCAGGTAAAAAAATGTGCATTTTTTTTTTTTTAGGAGCCTGGAAAGCATTGCACCAGTGATCAGGAGATCCCTGGTGCTATGCAGGACCCCATGCAGCCATGCTCTTTTCAAAAAAAGTAACAGATAGTAGGGGGAACTTCAACCCGTACTGCTGTCACACAGAGTGCTCATTGATCACTGAGCCGCTGCAGGAGCAGGAACATGTTATGTGTTCCACCCTAAAAACGGGTGGAACGTGTAACATGTTCCTGAAGGTGAACTTTTCCTTTAATAAATAATCTTGTATTGTCTATCATTCCTCTTCTGTATTGAGCAAAATGTGCCATTGGGCCTAATGGTATTTTAACCACCTGGGCAGCATAGTTCCTAAGTGGTTAGTGCTCTTAATTTGCATTTTGAGTTTGTAAAATAATGATTATGATTATGGACCCTGAGTGCTTTAGTTTTCTCTCACAGCTTTAGTTTTGTTAGGTTAAATGGTTTCAACGTTTAGTATGTGTATACGTATGTGTCTGTATAGCAGCAACAGAAATGTAAGACTTCAAGTTTCCTTGTGACTGAGGACTGAAGTCAGTCGTTATGCACTTACAGTTGTGACCAAAATTATTCAACCCCCATGCTGTAAAGGGGTTTAGGGACTATAGTGTACATTTGGAATTGTATTCAGAATCAAATCCTACAAGGACGTTGTAACTACCCAAATGCAACTAAAAACATCAATTGTTTATGTAATACAGTAGTAAATGGTTCTTATGTGGTTTCTTCATTGCCACAATTATTCAACCCCTTAAAGACTACCACTCTGAAGAACAGAGGTTCATACAGGTGCTTTCCATCAGGTATTGAAAACACCTGTGGATGTCACCGAGCAGCAATCAAGCATAATAAGCACCAATTAGGCAGCTTTAAAATGACTGTGATACTCAGCTCCTTCTAGACATTTACTGGTGTGGTTACAAACATGGTGAAGGCAAGAGAATGGTCCAGGAAGACAAGAGAAGAGGTGATTTCTCTTCACAGGAAGGGCAATGGCTATAAGAAGATTGCAAAGATGTTAAAGAGACACCTTAGGAAGCATCATTCGCAAATTCAAGGCAAAGGGCACTGTTGAAACGCTACCTGGTCGTGGCAGAAAGAAGATGCTGACTTCGACTGCTGTGCGCTACCTGAAGCGTAGAGTGGAGTGGAGAGAAGTCCCCGTGTGACTGCTGAGGAACTGAGAAAAGATTTGTCAGATGTGGGTACAGAAGTTTCAGCCCAGACAATAAGACGCACACTGCGTAATGAAGGCCTCCGTGCCAGAACTCCCCAGGCGTACCCCCTTGCTGTCTCCAAAGAATAAGAAGAGTCGACTGCAGTATGCCAAAAGCCATGTGGACAAACCACAAAAGTTGTGGGATAGTGTTCTGTGGACTGATGAAACAAAATTAGAACTGTTTGGGCCCATGGATCAACGCTATGTTTGGAGGAGGAAGAACAAGGCCTATGATGAAAAAAACACCTTGCCTACTGTGAAGCATGGTGGAGGGTCAATCATGCTTTGGGGCTGTTTTGCTTCTGCAGGTACAGGGAAGCTTCAGCGTGTGCAAGGTACCATGAATTCTCTTCAGTACCAGGAGATATTGGATGGAAACGTGATGCAGTCCGTCACACACCTGAGGCTTGGGAGACGTTGGACCTTTCAACAGGACAATGATCCCAAGCATACCTCCAAGTCCACTAGAGCATGGTTGCAGAGGAAAGGCTGGAACATTTTGGAGTGGCCATCGCAGTCACCAGACTTAAATCCGATTGAGAACCTCTGGTGGGACTTAAAGAAAGCAGTTGCAGTGCGCAAGCCTAAGAATGTGACTGAACTGGAGGCCTTTGCCCATGAAGAATGGGCGAAGATACCCGTAGATCGCTGCAAGACACTTGTGTCAAGCTATGCTTCACGTTTAAAAGCTGTTATAACTGTAAAAGGATGCTGTACTAAGTACTAAGATTGAATGTCACTTGGGGGTTGAATAAAACTGATAATGCTGTGAGCACAGAAAAGACATTTGTGGTTATTTCATTATAACTGTTATGTTATATTTGTCTGACCTACAAGTGCCTCTTTAATGTAAATGTAAGCAAGATGACTGAATGATCAAAAGCAATGTCAAACTGGCCAAAACACTCAATTTCAGTTTGAATAATTTTGGTCACAACTGTAGTGGCCACTTTGTTAGGTGAACTAATCTGGAAACCATATAAGTGTACATGGTCAGCAAAAGACTAATGTATGCTGTGTCATTCAGATGATACTCTGTTGGTACTGAGGAGCCCATTACATGGTAAGACAAATTATACTATTAACTCTTCATCCTGGCCATTTAATACAAAATATGATAGATTCATGAATTCATGATATTTATACTAGATTTTCCTCCTGCAATCTTTATAGCTCATCAGAAATCAAAATTTCTTCAGACCAGGCAGCAACCACAATATGCAATCTTAAGTTTCCCAGTAAAGCTGGCCATAGATGGGTTGAATCTCGCCGAGTTCAGAAGGGACTGACTGAGATTCGATCCATGTATGGGCAGTCTGATTGTACTCACCAGTCGACTTGGGTACAACCAGCACGTCGGGTTTTTAGCATGTGATTTTTACCAGGGGCTATAGCTGCTAGCAGTAATCACTGCTAGAGTGATTGGCTGGAGACTAGTGTGATGAATGGCTTCAGGGGATCAGTCATCACAACCAGAACTAGGGGGGAAAAAAGATTGCTCAACTATGGAGTAAGGTCAGTATTACTGTGTGCTAGGCCATCTCCTAGAAAAAATTAACAATAGATTCTTCATTAGCAGTTGTCAGGGGGTGGGGGGTTGGCAATTTTTATTATTTTTATTGTGGCCGAAGTTAGGAAACAAAACCACCTAATTCCCTGCTACTTAATTCACTCCTAGCCATTTGTAATTAAAAAAAACCAAACACATTAACAAGGCTAAGTTACTATTTCCTTTGTCCATTGTCACATGGTGCATCATAGCATCTTTTCTAGTAGTCCAGGCAGTCTACCTGGTTTTGTTGTCTCCCCTCATGACATGATATCATGATGCTGCTTGAACTGTGAGGACCCCCACTGATGGACAGCCAATGTAAAGCATGCATGTCTTCAACAAGAGATGTGAACACTCACAGAAGGATCCTCCAAAGATAGTCCAGGAACACTGTGGCCTGTCACGTGGCTTCAGAATCAGGGCTAATCTGTTTTTTTATTTTAAATATAAGTGGGTGATCAGCTAAATTGTGGTGTGAGGAAGTAAGTAGCCTGGAGAACAGTTTCAAGCAGTTATGGTCATCTGTAATCTTGAAAATCTGGCCATTCTGTTCTGACATTTTTCATTTAGAAGTTATTTTATCCCACAAACTGAAAATCAAATTTTCCCCAACAAACAGCAGTTTGAGATGTTGTAACCACTGTGTCTTCCACAGATGAGGTCCACGGTCAAAGTTGCTTTGATTACACATCTTCCCCATTCTATTGTCCGGTAGAACAACAATTGAACCTCTTTACCATGTCTGCAATCTTTGTTTATTGAGTTTCAGACGTGAATTTGTTGCTTACCTATTTACAGCATGAGTGCATAATGTGGCCACGGTGTATATGTATACTATAAAATGATGTGAGCTATATGAATGACTAGACAGTAGATTTCTACACAACATGGGCATAGACAGACAGGTCTCTCACCACAGAAGTGGCACATGTACTGTAAGATGTTGCAATTACCCAGTCTTCCGATACTAGCACAGTGATATTAAACCCTACTTGGTCAGGTTATTGCAATCCCCTGTGGAATCTGTCACATCTGTTTACAAGCCGTGAATTGCCATTTATACATTTAATTATTTTATATCCATGTTTTAACAACAGTCTGCCTAAGAGGTACATCAGGGAAAAAAATAATGAATGTGGAAAAATCCCTGTCTCTATCTCTATTGTGTGTGTGCATCTAGTATATTGTTACAATTAAGCTTCTTTCTTGGAAGACATATTAATGACTTTTTTTCAGAGGCCAGTTGAAGAGCAAAAAGAGTTACTTAATAAATGGAATGAAATGGGAACGGATGAACCAGGTAAAGGTCTATTTTATATTTTGCCTTTAATGCATCCTCTGTTTAAAGTGGCCCTAATGTAGATGTAGGTGATTTTTGTGAATGCAGTTGAGACATTAATTGTGGTCTGTAATGGGGCCAAGTTTGATGTCAGTGGTAATATGTGTCTAGTGAAAGAAGAAAAAACATAAACTTTTTAGTCAAAGTCCAGCCAGTGAAGTTTCCACCCATGAACAATAACCTCCAACCATGTTTAGCTAATTGCTACAGAAATTTAAAAATAAAACTGAATCTAAATGCCCCAAATACTCTCTAAAGCTGGTGGTCAGATGATGGGCCGGATCCTGAGTCTTCTGTCTCCCTCACAGCAAAGTGACAGGATCCTCTTTTGGGTGTCTTCGTCACTGCCTAGTGATATGGACACTTCTCATTTGCTATGCATCAATAAAATGTTAACAGGTCCTGAAGACTGCATCTGTGGCTTGATGTCATCAAGAAGAGGGCAACAACAAGGCAGGTAACCTGTACTGTGGGTCTAGATCAGCAGTCTCCACTACCAGAAGAGGCATGGGATAAGTGAAGTTAGGTAAGTAACAGTGAGCATTCGAGGGCTTTTGGAGTGTCATAGTCACACAAATAATATATAATCTTCTCAGTTCGGCAGGCCATAGATGATGCGATTTTCTTTCCTGCAACCACAGTTGATTACATAGAATTGTATGTACAGTTGATTACATAGAACTGAAGTCTTGCATGAGCTCATGAAATTTGCTTATTAGCATTTACTTTTGCATCATCAATCTAACTCCATTTAGTTCAGTTGATGTTTTGTTTTTTTCAGACTTAAACCTTTTTAGACCTGTGTATGCACCTAAGGACTTTCTTGAGGTATGTAAATACTATAGGAAAACATGTTAAGTGTGAACAAAACCTGGAGGATTGGTTACATATTTGGGCAAATATCTCTCAAAGCCCTAGCAATATAATATCCTTTGAGAACTGAAAATCTTATGTTGGTACCTCACAACTTCCAGGATGGCAAAATATACAGGCGTTAAACAAAATTATGGAAACACTAGGTAAAAAGAACAAATTGTTACCTAATATGGTGTTGGACCAACTTTGGCATCCACGATGCCCTGAATTCTCCTGGGAATTGACGAATATAAGTCTTGGATGGTGGATAATGGAAACTGATACCACTCTTCATGCACACAATTATTCCAGTTCTTGCAGAGATGCCAGACGCAGAAACGAGCCCAAACCTTGTTCTCCAAATTGACCATAGTCGCTCTATAATATTGAGGTCCAGCAATTGCGGCACCCTGGGAAGGTATGAGACTTTATCTGGATGCTCATCAAACCACGATTTGATAACACCAGCTGTGTGAATCGGAGCATTATCGTCTTGGTAATTGGTCCTGTCTTTGGGAAACAATGTCTGCATCATGGGGTGCACATGGTTGGCCAAAATTTGTGCATAGTCGATGGCAGTGATTCTGCCTTTCAAAGTGATGATGGGGCCTGCAGAATACCAAGATATGGCTGACCAAACCATGATTGCACCAAAACCATGCTTTACCATTGGCACAAGATAGTCCTGGTCGTAAGCTTGGGATGGTGTTTGCCACACTTAAACACATCCAGTGGTTGGGAACAGTGTGAAGCTTGATTCATAGAACCATATTATAGTTTTCCGTTGATTGATAGTCCATGATTAATGGGTGTTGCACTACTCTCTCCTCTTCTCAGTAATAATATCGGTCACTAGGGATTTGGCAATTGCAGCTCGGCTGTGAATGTTTTGCTTATGGAGTTCCCTCCATAGTTTTTTTGGACATGGGCTTTGGAAGACTGAGATTGAGCTCTGCAGTCACTTTTGCAGCAGTCGTTTTCCTATTTCGGGCCACAATCCTGCTCAATGTAATTTTTTCCTCAGGGTCACTTGACCCTGTCGAACGCACCTATCCTTATCAGACGATGTTTTCCCGGAAACTGTATATGCCATCATAATATTTGATACTGTACCTCATGACACCTCAATTAAATTGGCAACATCTGTCACAGAGGCACCAGCTAAGTGGGCACCAACAATTTGCCCTCTTTGAAACTCAGAAAGCTCTGACATGGATCCATAATACTAGCAACAGATGCAGTGAATGTCAAAAGTGAGGCTTCCCACCTCTTAGCTAGGTGTCTAATCACACAGCGAAAGCAAAAGAATGTTACATCACTTCTGATTTCAATGTAAAACATGTCACTTTCACACCTGAAAATCATGTAGTGTTTCTATATTTTTGTTCAACCCCTGTATATTTTCCTATATAACTCAACATATTTTTGTGAATGTATGCAAGGTATGGTGTTTTGCATATTGTGTTTCTGCTCAAAAGCAGAAAGGCTCTGGATCCAAATCACCTCATTAGAAGTATGCTCAGTCAAAATGTACATAAAAATGCCTGAGAAGTTCTATTTCACAAACTTGTTTCCCCTCTCACCAAGAAAGAACACAAATACAATGGATGTAGAAAAAAATCACCTCCTTTAAAATAATCATATTTTGTTGATTTGCAGCCTGAAATAAAAAGACAATTTTGGTTTTATCCAGCTGTATCTACTCAGTGCAACTTATAACATCCACGTGAAAGATATAGCACCAACATTCCAGAATAAAAAAATGTAAAACAGAATCTATGAGTTGGAAAAAAGGATCACCCGCTCCTAAAATGACTTGTAAATCAGGTGTCGCTAATCACCTTCTCAATAGCATACAAAGCCATTTGACTCTCAACGGTTATCAGTAGAGATGAGCGAATCGAACTTGGCGAAGTGGAATTCGTTTAGAATATTAGGAAAAATTCGATTCGCACCGAATCCGCATATTAGCAAACTTCGGATGCGCGAATCGAATTTTTCCCGATCGGCCGATTTTCATCCCTTCTACAGCCGGCAAAAAGTGTCCCTGCAGAGAGCTCCGCTATTTCTGACAGTTCTCTGACAGTTCCTTCACATTTACAGCGGTTGAAACATTGTATCTATTTGTTTCCATTTAGGATACAGATGTTTTTATTCGGAAACAAATAGATACAATGTTTCAACCGCTGTAAATGTGAAGGAACTGTCAGAGAACTGTCAGAAATAGCGGAGCTCTCTGCAGATACACTTTTTGCTGTACTGGAATTCTACTTCTTTTCATTCTTCTTCTTCTTCTTTTCATTCTTCTTCTTCTTCTTTTCATTCTTCTTCTTCTTCTTTTCATTCTTCTTTTCATTCTTCTTCTTTTCATTCTTCTTTTCATTCTTCTCATTCTTCTTTTCATTCTTCTTCTCATTCTTCTTTTCATTCTTCTTCTTCTTCTTTTCATTCTTCTTCTTCTTCTTTTCATTCTTCTTCTTCTTCTTTTCATTCTTCTTTTCATTCTTCTTCTTCTTTTCATTCTTCTTCTTCTTCTTTTCATTCTTCTTTTCATTCTTCTCATTCTTCTTTTCATTCTTCTTCTCATTTCTTTTCATTCTTCTTCTCATTCTTCTTTTCATTCTTCTTCTTCTTTTCATTCTTCTTCTTTTCATTCTTCTTTTCATTCTTCTTCTTCTTATTCTTTTCATTCTTCTTCTTCTTCGTCTTTTCATTCTTCTTTTCATTCTTCTTCTTCTTTTCATTCTTCTTCTCATTCTTTTTTTCATTCTTCTTCTTCTTCTTTTCATTCTTCTTCTTCTTTTCATTCTTCTTCTTCTTTTCATTCTTCTTTTCATTCTTCTTTTCATTCGTTTCATTCTTCTTTTCATTCTTCTCATTCTTCTTTTCATTCTTCTTCTTTTCATGCTTCTTCTTCTTCTTTTCATTCTTCTTTTCATTCTTCTTCTTCTTCTTCTTTTCATTCTTCTTCTTCTTCTTTTCATTCTTCTTTTCATTCTTTTCATTCTTCTTTTCATTCTTCTTCTCATTCTTCTTTTCATTCTTCTTCTTCTTTTCATTCTTCTTCTTCTTCTTTTCATTCTTCTTCTTTTCATTCTTCTTTTCATTCTTCTTCTTCTTCTTTTCATTCTTCTTCTTTTCATTCTTCTTTTCATTCTTCTTCTTCTTCTTTTCATTCTCTTCTTCTTCTTCTTTTCATTCTTCTTCTTCTTTTCATTCTTCTTTTCATTCTTCTTCTTCTTCTTTTCATTCTTCTTCTCATTCTTCTTTTCATTCTTCTTCTTCTTCTTTTCATTCTTCTTTTCATTCTTCTTCTTCTTCTCATTCTTCTTCTTCTTCTTTTCATTCTTCTTCTTCTTCTTTTCATTCTTCTTCTTCTTCTTCATCGTGCCCCGTGACTGCCCAAATGAGTTAAGTGTGCGGTGATTCTAAGATCGACGGCACTCATCTGCATGTCATACTGACTGACAGTATTATTTCTCTTCCCCAGCAGACTCCAAGGGCATTTAAATTAAAGGTACAGTGTTCTGCACTAATATAAAGGCTCTCTGAAGCCTAGAAACCCTTTTAATAAGTTAAATTCGCAGCGAATAAATTTGCATCGAATCGAATTTCTTCCGCAAATTCGGCGAATCAGCCGAATCGAATTTTTGAATAATTCGCTCATCTCTAGTTATCAGCTGTGGTCATTTTGATTAGCTCAGCATAAAAAGAGCTTTCCTGGAGCAGTGCAGTCCCTGATAGTGCAACTGAACCAAACAAGCACAAGTCAGAAGATGGATAAAAAAAAATGTAGAGGCTTTATCAATGCCTAGAAGCATGGTGAAGTCTATTATTAAGAAGTGCAAGGTATTTGGTACAACACAGACCCTCCCTGGATCGGATCAAGACATCGCTCCAAACTGTATGAAAGAGCAAGGAGGAAACTGGTCATAGAGGCTACCAAGAGGCCTACAGCAACTCTGAAGCAGTTGCAGGAATTTATGATAAAGTGGTCATTGTGTGCATGTGACAACAATATCACAAATTCTCCAGAAATGTGGCTTGTATTGGAGGGGTTGCAAGAAAAAAAAAAACACTCCTAAAGAAAGACCACATGCAGTCAGAACAGAGCTTTGCCAAAATGCACCTTGAGGATTCTGAGGCCACATGAAAAAAGGTGTAATGGTCAGATGAGACTAGAACTGAATTATTTGGCCTTAACACTAAATTATATGTTTGGCGTAAATCCAATCCAGCTCACCAGCCAAATAACACCATTCCTACAGTACAGCATGGAGGTGGTAATATCCTGTTATGGGGGTGTTTCTCTGCACCAGTAACTGGAGCACTTGTCAGGATAGAAGCAAGAATGGATGGGGCAAAATACTGTCAAATTCTTGAGGAAAATATGCTGCCCTCTGCCAGAAAGTTGTCAATGGGAAGAAGATTTACGTTCCAACATGACAATGACCCAAAGCACTCAGCAAAATTTACCACACAGTGGTTGAAGGGAAAAAGGTGAATGTCCTTGCATGGCCTAGCCAGAGCCCAGACTTAAAACCCATTTAAAATCCATGGAATAACTTGATGACTGCAGTCCACAAATGGTCACCATCATTTATTTTTTTTTTTTACATAATCAACATTTATTGATTTTCTGAGAGAATGCAAAGAAAAGGGAGAAAATATAACAAAACAAGATATAAGTATTGTACAGCAGTACACTGATGTATATGGGTATACAACATCTACGTACAGGAGGCTAGGCAAAGGAAAGTTGGACCCAACATAAAGTAGGGCTTTTACAACACTTGAATCACCATCAAATTGAACTGAACTTGAGTAATTCTGCAAAGAAGAGTGGGCAAGTATTGCAAACTCTAGATGTGTAAAGTTAGTAGAGACATATCCCAACAGACTAAAGGCTGGAATTAAAACAAAAGGTGGTCCACCAAAATACTGATACAAGGGGTGATCCTTTTACCAACCCAGTGATTCTATTTTTGAATTTTTAAAAAAACGTATCTGACATGGTGGTGTTATATCTTTCAAATACAGATGGATAAAACAAAAACTGTGTCTGTCTTCATTTCAGACTTCAAAGCAACAGAATGTGATTATTTTAGAAGGTAATTCTTTTCTATACCCACTGTATGTCACCTTTATCTATATTTAACTACTGCACTTGAAACTATGAACAAGCCTTACAATGAAAAATAACCTTGTTTATCCTCTGTGTTTACCTTACAGTATGTTAAAAACATTTCTGAATGAAAAGTCTAAACATTTAGTCCCCGGTCACACCGATCTAACTTTGAAACTGTGCTACTTCCAGTAAAGTCACACAATTTCAAAGTCGGATGTCATTCCGACTTGTGGTGCGACTTGCAAGACATCTGCGGCTTGCAAGACACAGATATCTATGCAAGTCACGCCTGAAGTAGTGCATGCACTACTTTAGAATTTGTTGCGGCTCCGATTGGAATTGCACCAGTATGACTGCTTTAATTGCCGACTACAGGGTGCGACTTCCAAGCAATTTAAAACTCACATGGCAAATCTCATGGCAAGCCACTCCCGGTGTGACTGGGCTGTTAGCCTCTTACAACTTCATTTGATGGCCAGGCAGTATGATATTACATACCCTCACCAGTGTAATATGTAAACATAGTGCCAATACATATGCCTCGACTATAATTATACTTGTCCAACTCCCTCCTCATGCTTTAGTCATTTAACTGTCAAAAATAATATAGATATATGCTGTAAGATTTGGCGTACTATCCTATGTTGGAAGTGTTGGCACATTATCTAATGACCAGAATAAAATGCCAAAACACTCAATAGAGGAATATGATGATTATTGAGAAATACCTTCCATAAGATAACGCTTGGTAATTTTATTGTGGGCTTTAGGTCAGCCTTAAGTGTAACAATTGCATCATCTTGTAAAAATCAGATATTCAAAAGATGCGGCCACATGCACTTATGGCTAGATATAACAGATCTGGAAAGTCATTGCTGAACACAACTTCTGGGTGATGCATAACACAGTAGCAATGGCTGAGGTATCATCATGTACATCAGCAGATGCAGTCATCACACATCTGGAATTTCTATACCTGCTTTATACACTAAATAATTTTTACTCACATTTTACCATAAAGCAGTGGTAACAGTTTTTCTGAAAATACAGTAATAGAAGGGCTGAAATGATACTTCAGGCTCTTTTCAGTGCTGGCCATATAACTAATTGTCTACCTTGGTTACATGACCTTACCACCTTAAGTCAATTCCTTTCCATATGCACTTGGTCCAGCATTAGCTGCACATTATGGATTTGAAATTACTTCTTAATTGTGAAAAAAGTTGAGCACTGAGTGTTAACACATCTGATTGTAGTCTCCACCAAGGATGCGTATGGCAGGGTGACAACACAGACTCACAACTGGGAAACAGTTGTCACCCCATAACAGGAAGTGCCTGTACCTAATAACCTTCATGGCAGGATTTCCAGGATATTATTTTAGTGAAAGCTACAAATTTAAATGAATTGAAAGCAGCTTTTGAAATTACATCAACATACTATAGGTATACTTTATTTTTTATGCCATGGGCACGGTCTGTACATCAGTAGTCTGTGTTATTAAAAAGATACTTTTATCTGTTCCATGCAGGTGGTGAATGTGTCTCTGAAAAGGGCCCTCTCCAGCTCCCTTATACTGTACTTCCTATGTTTGCTTACCCTCCCTGCTTCTCTCTCTGTTGCAGCAAGCTGTGAAATCAGCACTGTCAGTAGTGGCATCCCATAGGCTCATTCACACTTGACTAATTTCTAATGCTTGCCAAACGCCCCTATAGTGTTTGACAGGCGTTAGACAGGCGCTTTTGAAGCGTTTTTAATGCTCCTCAAATGCTCCCAAAATGCCCTATGAGCGTTTTTGAGGCGTTGGCTAGGTGTTTGCCAAGCGTTAAAAAACCGCACCACAAACTCCTATAATTAATTTTAATTGGTATTAACGCTCCGCAAACGCCTCGCAAATGCCTTGTAAACGCCCTACAATTCCTGCCAAGCATTTGAGGAGCATAATCATAGATTTGAATGGGAGGCTTCAACTCCTCCTGACTGGACATCAATTTTGCCGCGATGCTAACGCTTCAGTGTGAACAGCACTGTGTGCTGCCATGTGTAGAATTTCCATAGGCGTTTGAGGAGCGTTAAAAACACCTTCCCAAACGCCTAAGGCCTGCTAACAAAGCTAGTGTGAACTTCGCCTAAGTCACATGACAATGCTCAGCCCTAGTGATAAGCACTATCAAAGGGGAGAGAGTCATTTGCTCCCCCATGCCTAGAAGCAACAGGTAGTGTTACCAGCTGTGACAGAGTAAGCAGTGGTGACAGTCGGGTGACGGGCAAAGAGACAGTGTCTTCTAAAGCTTCCATATTGTTATGTAGCTTCTCAGTAATTCCTCATACTACAGTGGGGCAAAAAAGTATTTAGTCAGCCTCCAATTGTGCAAGTTCTCCCACTTAAAAAGATGAGAGAGGCCTGTAATTGGCATCATAGGTAGACCTCAACTATGAGAGACAAAATGAGAAAAAAAATCCAGACAATCACATTGGCTGATTTGGATAGAATTTATTTGCAAATTATGGTGGAAAATCAGTATTTGGTCAATATCAAAAGTTCATCTCAATACTTTGTTATATATCCTTTGTTGACAATGACAATGAGGTCAAACGTTTCCTGTAAGTCTTCACAAGGTTGGCACACACTGTTGCTGGTATGTTGGCCCATTCCTCCATGCTGATCTCCTCTAGAGCAGTGATGTTTTGGGGCTGTCGCTGGGCAACACGGACTTTCAACTCCCTCCAAAGGTTTTCGATGGGGTTGAGATCTGGAGACTGGCTAGGCCACTCCAGGACCTTGAAATGCTTCTTACGAAGCCACTCCTTCGTTGCCCCGGGCGGTATGTTTGGGATCATTGTCATGCTGGAAGACCGAGCCATGTTTCATCTTCAATACCCTTGCTGATGGAAGGAGGTTTGCACTCAAAATCTCACAATACATGGCCCCATTCATTCTGTCCTGTACATGGATCAGTCGTCCTGGTCCCTTTGCGGAGAAACAGCCCCAAAGCATGATGTTGCCACCCCCATGCTTCACAGTAGGTATGGTGTTCTTTGGATGCAACTCAGCATTCTCTCTCCTCCAAACACGACGAGTTGTGTCTCTACCAAACAGTTCTATTTTGGTTTCATCTGACCATATGACATTCTCCCAATCCTCTTCTGGATCGTCCAAATGCTCTCTAGCAAAATTCAGACGGGCCCGAACATGTACTGGCTTAAGCAGGGGGACACGTCTGGCACTGCAGGATCTGAGTCCCTGGCGGCGTAGTGTGTTACTGATGGTAGCCTTTCTTACGTTGGACCCAGCTCTCTGCAGGTCATTCACTAGGTCCCTCCGTGTGGTCCTGGGATTTTTGCTCAGCGTTCTTGTGATCATTTTGACCCCACGGGGTGAGATCTTGTGTGGAGCCCCAGATCGAGGAAGATTATCAGTGGTCTTGTATGTCTTCCTTCGACAGCTCTTTGGTCTTCACCATAGTGGAGTTTGGAGTGTGACTGTTTGAACTTGTTATCAGTATAAAAGACACCTGTCCACAACCTCAAACAGGTGCCATTGATACAGGTAATGAGTGCAGGACACAGGAGCCTCTTAAAGAAGAAGGTACAGGTCTGTGAGAGCCAGAAATCTTGCTTGTTTGTAGGTGACCAAATACTTATTTTCCACCATAATTTGCAAATAAATTCTTTCCAAATCAGCCAATGTGATTGTCTGGATTTTTTTTTTCTCATTTTGTCTCTCATAGTTGAGGTCTACCTATGATGCCAATTACAGGCCTCTCTCATCTTTTTAAGTGGGAGAACTTGCACAATTGGTGGCTGACTAAATACTTTTTTGCCCCACTGTATATTTTACATTGGAATGCCCATCTTCCAGTTGGATAATACATTTTCTTTACATTTCCCTTGTAGGTGCTTATTAATCTTCGTAATCCTAACTATGATACTGATCAGACAAGTTTTAGGGCTCAACTTGGCCTGATTCAGGTCCCATTAAAAACTAAAGACATCCCGGAACTGGTAAGTCAGAAATATATCTCCTCTCTGCTTTATGTTAATATGATCCCTTAATACAGTCCAGTGACAGCACAAATCTACAGGCTACATACAGTGTCAGTGGGAGGGCACAGTTTAGTTATTTTCTTGAAGGTTTATACAGCAGGGTCATAGCCAAGAGGTTTCCTGTAAAAGAAGTGTGTGTGGTCCCAATTTTCCAGTATTGGAGGCCAGTTTGGTTCTCTAATACTTCCAGTGGCTGGGTAGTGGGGAAGAGGTGGCTTTTCAATACGCAGGCTGCCAGAAAAAGTAATAAAGTATGTAACAAGGTGACCTCTTGGTAAAAGCGAACCTGTGATGATCAGGTCAGTTTAGCACACTTTTTTTTTTATTTTGGAAATAGTGTGATGGCCTAGAACCTATGACAATGTTTTATTCCTATCTGTGTCTATTTCTGATCTCACTTCCTTTCTTTTTGATGGGTGCAAACCAAACAGAAAGTGAGGTTAAATCTCCCCACTTACCTTCTGTTAAGGTGATTCTAAAAGTTCATTTTTTTTTAACAACAAAAATTGTATACTTACCTGCTCTGTATAATGGTTTTACACAGAGCAGCCCCAATCCTCCTCTTCTCGGGTCCCCCTCCAGTGTTATTGCCCCCCCTTCCCCACTGGGTGCCCTCCCTAGCAATCCGCTTGCTACGGGGGCACTTGTGTGGGCTTGCTCCTGAGTCTCACTCTGTATGTATTTAATATACACAGAGCATGGCTGCCCCTTCTTCCTTTCCTCCTCACTGGCTGTGATTGACAGCAGTAGGAGCCAATGGCTGCTGTCTATGAGCAAATGAGTAGTTGGAGAGCTGAGAGAGCATCTGCCTTCGTGAAAATCACTGGATCAAGATTGGGGTCAGGTGAGGGGGGTAAGCTTCACAGCCACATATAATGCATAAAGGTAAAAAACCTTCTACCTTTACAACCATTTTAATGTGCATCAGGCAAAACAGGAAATGAGCCAAAATCCCCCCCAACTGTGACACAGTCAGTAACAAAAACACATTTTCTAATTAAATTGAGATAAACAAAAGGCCAGGATCCTGGCTGACATTTGGGGGCCCATTTATGTTAACATTTTCCCGCCCGGCCTACGGCCAGATGGCGGCTGGGCGAGCACCTTGCCATTTCGGGTGGACGCCATACGGCGTCCTTTTGGGCATGCGCAGTTTGCGCGCCCGCAGAGACGCGCAGCAGCATGATCTGTCACCGGCCCGCGTACCTCGGACACGGCTGATGACAGATCTTAGTACCGGCCCTGTTGCCGGTACCATGTGACCTGCTGTGACCAATCACAGCAGGTCACATGACAGTTGTATACAATGGATGGCTTCATTCATGCCATTCATTGTATACTAGTGTGCCTAGCTGTGAATGGTCACAGCGATCACATGCACAAGCTGGGCCAATCACGGCCCAGCTGTGTCATGTGATTAGCCGTAGCCAAATCACAGCTAAGCTAAAAAAAAAAAAAACCCTGAATGAATCGATGTTATTCAGGTGAATGCTTGCTTATAACAAAGTAATTCTTTGCTATAAGCAAATAGTGTAAAAAAAAAAAAAATAATGATCACTTCCCCAAAGTAGTACAATGTTACTATGGTAACATTGTACTACTTTGGTCATAGTGAAATATGAAAAATAAATCTTAAAAAAGTGAAAAAAAAGTAATAAAAAATTAAAACTAATAAAAAAAGAAAAAAAAAAATATTTTTTTTTTTCATACTGTCACCAGTCAGTGTCCCTGATCACCGCCATGCCAGTTATATGATGACGCTGTACTGCACTGGTGAGAGTATATAAAAAAAAATAGTGAAAATAAATTTTTTAATTTTCTGAAAAATTATGACAAAAAAATTATAAGTTCAAAAAACTCGCCATGCCTGTTATAAAATACGTCGGACTGTCTACTTTGCAAAAAGGGGTCATTTGGGGAGATCTGTACTGTTCTGACATTCTTGGCCCTCAAGAAATTAGATTGGATGTCAGTACTTCAGGATTGATCAATATTCAGATCTATACCATAGTTTGTGAACTCTATTACTTTCCTACAAACTAAATAATAAATACTAATTTGGGTTATTTTCACCAAAGCCATGTAGCAGAATACATCTTGGCCAAAATTTATGAAGAACAATTATTTATTTGCAAACTTTTATAACAGAAACAAAGAAAAACGTGTTTTTTTTTTTTCAAAATTTTTGGTCTTTTTTTGTTAATTTAGCAAAGAATAAAAAAACCAGCGGTGATTAAATACCACCAAAAGAAAGCTCTAGTTGTGTGATGAAAATGACAAAATTTTAGTTTGGGTACAGTGTTGTATGACCGCGCAATTGTCATTCAAAGTGTGAGAGCGCTGAGACCTGAAAATTGGCCTGGGCAGGAAGGGGGTAAAAGTGCCCTGTATGGAAGAGGTTAAAGGTGGCTTTCAGATTCCAATAGGCACCCCCTGCAGAACTCCATATTTACTGGGCTAGGGATGTGGGGAGGAGGCTCATGTTCCCAGCGAACAAGGCGCCTTGTCAGGGAGATTTATGGTTTAGTATGGATAAAAAAGTAGGGATTCCCCCTAAGTGTCCATAACAGACCCTAATCCAGGCATGCACGAAAGGGGATATACCACACCCAAATAAGGGTCTGGTATTGATTTTGAGGAAGGGCCTCATACTGTTTTGAAACACAAAAACAAGCCAACAGAAAGCCATTTTTTTCTTTCACAAGATGTCAATTTTGCTGCAGTACATCTTAAACATCCTACAGGTACTCCACTTTACAGGCAAGTTTAGCCTTTTTGCTGCCAGGCCTGTACACTGTATGGACTTAACAGTGGGGGTTTTATACACGCTTCCAGTGGCAGCAGCCACCAGGAGTGTGTGTATATATGACAAGCTGACTGTCATCTGTCAGAAGCAATCTAACAGCTGGATACAGTGGAGATGGATTAGAACTCCTGTCAGGTTTTATTGCTGTCTGTGCTCCCCTTATGGATATTCACCCTCTCTGTTTGTACTGTTTACAGTTATTGCTGAAAGTAAAAAAGAAAATCTAAAATTTTGGGTTGTCCTCAGAAAATAATAATGTAATAAAGGGGAAATCTTCCAACGGGGACACTAAATCTGCGGGGCCCCAAGGGATTGTGTTTTCAGGGATTTCCTCTCACTTCCTGTTATAGCTTTGGGGCAGGATGTGAAGTTAAATCTCCTCAATGGAACACAAAAAAACAACAGGCGTAATAACAGGCTCTATCCAAAATGAAAAAAAAGTTTTGCCTTTAGTTTTACTTTAACACAATTAATGTATATTTTAAAGTGAAACTTTAGTCAGAAAATTAAGTCCTGCTAGATCATTTAGGCTGGCCCCTTTTATAGTTATAGCAAAACATTAAAAATAAGTGCCTATACTGTTTGAAATCCAGTAATACACAGTCTCACCGTGCTCTGCACATGCTCAGTTGCTCTCTATTTTTTGGCATTGTGCCAAAAATGTATAGGCCGATCTTTTGACAGCCTAAAGATTTATTGCTGCTCTGGGCTGCAGAAAAATGGCAGCCTCCAGCAAGAGGAAACTGGAGGCTATTTACAGAGCACACGATTTTTGGCAGCATTTTTTATTAATGATGAAATGTATGTTCCTTGTTAAAGAACGTTATTTTTTATCAAGTTGTTATGGGTAAAGTTCCAGTTGAATAACTCTATAGTTACAAAGTACATATTTGCATTGGTAAACCTTCTTTAATCCTTTTATCCCATGGATCTGCTGAATTTAACTCATGGATCACACATTATCGATGCATTGTGATATTCTCTGTGAAAAAGTTATTCCATGAAAATGACTGCACGCTTTTGCTGCTAATACTGTTACCTTTTAGATTATGTTAATTTTGACTTCCCCTGAGCAGTTGTTGAGGTGTTAGTAGTTTCAGGAGAAGCTCAAATATCAGTTCATCACAAATAGAAGCTTCCAATAGTAACTAGAATAATATCTATTTTTTGCAGAAAAACACTGCTGCAAAATATTTGTGATTTAAACATGTGGATGTGAAAATGATCTTGTGATAAAATAATGAACTCGTATAATATCATGAAATGATGCAGAGCTAGGAATGAACTTTTATAACTTCATGCGGATATGTGAATTGGACCTATTGACATCTCAGTTTCTGTATGATGAAAGCTTTTACATACTCAAAGCGATATTAAACTCAAAATCAGAAAAATGTAATCTGTTGTACTTTACCAATCCTTAGATGTGGTTTTCTTTCCTTTTTTTTTTTTCGCTCCCCCTCCCAGTTTTCACCTGGTGATATGGCCAGCAATACACCTCCTGTATTAGAATGTCCCCTCTCTGGATGAAGGAGCACAGGGGGTACCTTTGGACAGCAGCATTACCAGTCTGGGGGTAGTTAAGGAGGAACTTTAGTCTCCCCCCAAAAATTTGTAATGATTAATTGGTAACAAAAATGAATAAATACTTTAGCTGCTGACTTTTCGTCTAGGCGATCCAGGCAGATGTGGGAGCAGGTAGCTTTCAAAACCAGGTGCCCACTCCCCACAAAAAATAACAGTTTCCAAAAGTGGGATAAGAGGGAAGGAGTAGGTGGAAAAGTGGAACTTCCCCTTTTGGGTGAAGTTTCGCTTTTAGCTAGCAGTTACAGCAAAACTTCTTTTTTTACTTTTTGGGATAAAGGTTTTAAAAGGAATAAATAAAATCTGATCAATGTAAGCACCCCGTTAGTGGTAAATGGTTTGTCCCAGCACTGTGCTACATCTGCAAGACAGTTTTTCTGTTGACAAACAGGTTACTTACTGGCTGGATCACCAGATGAAAGTAAAAGAAAGAAAGTCTAAAAAAAGAAAGCCAATGGAGCCATCACATTTAAGAATTGGTAAGCTGCAATATATTTAAATATTTGCTTTTTAGTTTATTAACGCTTTAACATTATCAATATCATTTTTAGTTATTTATTTTATAAACTCCTATTTCTGGTTTTCTGGGCATTTACTCTACTTGTTAATGTTGCCTAGAAGAAAAATGTGTTCTAATTTATGGTTTCCTAGGTATTGATCACCATCATCACCAGAATGTCTATGTACTCTCCGTATTCCTGATTGAGTGGGGGATTTGTGGAATATACTACATGTTAGCAGCTGTAAATTTAGGTTGCTCTAAAGCTGTGATTTGTAAACAGTCTGTGAATGACAGTCTGTCATTCTTGTTCTCTAGGGGTTTTGTGAATACTCACCTCCTGAGAGATTCAGAATGTAATGTAAGGAACTTAGGGACAGCCTGAATATCTGTCCTAGACATTTTAAAGCATAGTATATTTAAAGTGACACTAAACTCACATTTTTTTAAAATAAAATAAATGCAATATGTTTAAATATAAGTAGAATGTACTTTCTTTGTCTCTCTTCCTTTTGTTTTATCTCTAAAATGCAAGCTTTTCTCTGCTCTTCTCATACTTCCTGGTCTAGGGTGGCTACATTCATTCTCCTTGCCCCCTTGTGTATATGAACATAGCCACTCTTTCTTGCTCAACCCCCAGATGGACTACACATCTTTGTGCAGACAAATTCATCTCTATAATTGCTTTACACATAGAACAGAGCTTGTGACCAGAAATATTGGCACTGCTCACTGCAGTAGTGATAAGCGTGTATCAGTGGAGGATAAGGAGCGTGCACAGGGCAAAAAAGAAAGCCCAAAAAAAACTGATATTAAACTAACAAAGAAAAAAAAAAAAAGCCATGGTATACTTGATATTTTAGAAGAATTGAAGTAAAAAAAATTAGTTTAATATCACTCTAAATGTGAATGTACAGTATGCAAAGTGCTGTGTAAATTGTCAGTGCTATATAAATACCAGGAATAAACAAATATTAAATTATGAATTACATAACTGTATTTTTCCCGGGTAGAATGTTGTTTTTTCTTTTTAAATCTAGAGAGAATTCTTTGGGGAACTTAACTTAAACACAGGTCAGCTAGGAGTGGATGACTCTACGCCAGTCCCACCAGGTAGGTATCATGACTTTTAATTATACATTTTTCAGACCTTTTCAAACTGTCACACTGCCCAGGAATACAGACGCACAGGACGCAAATACACTATCAACCTTTTGTAGAGATTTTTTTAATGAGGGACAGCCTGATTTGTGACTAACTGTGTCAGTAATAACCCAAATAAGTGTTTATTATTTAGTTATAGAGTATACAAACTGTGGCATATGTATCACAAAATCAATCAATCTTGATGTACTGATGGCCGATATATATTTTTTACATACTGTCACTAGTGCAGTACAGCATCATCATATAACTGGTGTGGTGGTGCCCAAGGATACTGACTGGTGACAGTATGTGAAAAAAACATTTATATATATATATTTTTTTTTCTTTTTCATTACATTTTCTTTCTTTTTTTTTCTTTTTTTTAGAATTGCTTTTTAACACACTGTTACCAGAGCATTATAATGTTACCATAATGGGGAAGTGATCAGAATTTTTTTTAAACATTATGCTTGCTTATAACACAGAATTTCACTGGTATAAGCAACCATTTTTACTGAATGAAATTGATTTATTCAGTGTTTACTGTTGTGGTTAGCTGCTATTGGCCACAGCTAATCATATGGTACAGCTGAGCTGTGATTGGCCCTGTCGGTACTATATGATCACTGTGACCAATCACAGCGAGCAACACAATATTACGCAATGGATGGCATGAATGAAAGCGATCCATTGTGTACAATTGTCATGTGATCTACAGTGATTGGTCACAGCAATCACATGATACTAGCAGTGGCCAGTATACTGGTCGGTCGTCATCCGCTGTGTCTGGTGGACATAGCAGGTGACGGATCGTGTAGCAGCCTGGCCCGTAAGGCGTGTTCTGGGAGGACTGGTTATAGACTTCACACTAGAAAACAACACTTTTATGGGCATTTATCAGCATTCTTGTTGTTTCTTCAAAGCTGCAAAAAAATCAACAAAAGTGCATCAAAAACATGTCATAAATTCTATAGGCACATTACTGAGCATTTTTTCATTTTTCATAATCAACGTACACATGTGAACAAGCCCAAAGAGCTATATGCGTACAAGCTAGGTATGGACTGGTATTCTCTCAGATTAGGTACTTGGAGAAAAGAAAAAGTCCTGAGAATATCTGTTGGACCAAAAAAACGTTTTCCAATTAGAAAAAAAAAAAACCCTGAATACTTCAGTTGGATTAATGGAGGCATCATACAGTATGTACATACTATGTGAACTGGTGTGCTTATTATGTTAGTGCTGGTTTTAAGTAGGTATTGCTTTGAGTGGTTAGTTTCCTCTAATTTAGATTACCTGAAAAACCTTGCAGTCACTTTAAAACTTTTAAGTATTTAGTAAAATTACACTTCTGCTGTATATGTTTAAGCTCCACTTGTTGGTAGTATGATGTCTTTGTCTCCCACCTTTAACTGAAAAAAATGCTAATTACTACAAGAAGAAAAAACTGTGGCTTTTTAGAGAACTTTGTGTAATAAAAGTATGTATATCCAGAACTATTTATTTTTTATTTTTGGATGATGTGAGGAAAGTTTTTTTTTTTTTTTTTTTTTTATACAAGTAGTATGTGAGGGAAGGTTAGAACCCTTGTTGGGTTTACTGCAATACAGGGCTCAATTACAGATATTTTCTTTCACATTCCAACCTGGTTGACCATGGTTTAATCAGACAGGGATATAGACATAGGCATAAAAAATTGACAGACGCTTTAGCCTTTCCAGAGTCTACCAAAAATAAAGTTTTTATCTCTGGTAACAACATCACCAGGGTAGTTAGTGAGTAGAGCATTCGATAGCGGTAAAAATGAAACAAGGTTTCTAATTCTTACCCTATGTAAATAAAAAGTAAAAATGTTTTCCCTGGATGTACACTCTAAAGTTGAACTCCAGGAAAACAGTAATTCAGAAACAGTCAGGTTATACCGCTGCCTACAGGTGGTTGCGACACTGACAAACAGAAAAATTGTTAGCCAGTCCATATTTTGCCTCTCCTTTCCACAGCATGCCTTAGTTTTTTGCTAGTGTCCTAGGAGGTTGGAGAAAAATCTTCTTTTTTATTGTAGCCTTCCTTAGTTTGTGAAGTTTGTTCCTTCGTTGGACCATGACCTTTGGTCTGGACTATGACCGTTGGTCTGGACCATGACCTTCTGGGACTGGGCTTGTAGCACTTCCAGACCTTATTGTACAGTGTTAGGTTGTTGCTGAGCTCTTTTCACGTTCAGAAATGTGACACAGCTCCAGGTGTGACCTTGTCTCAGAAGATTCACACAGTGAGTAAGGCTGGTCAGGCTGAAGCATTGGGACCTACTTCACTGTTTGCACCTCTGGGCTTTCAGATTTCTGGCTACTGCCAGTTCTAAAGTAGTAAGGGTTAAGGCTGAGGGATTAAGTGCTGATGTCATCTGCTGGGGGGTGTGCTATGCATGCACTGCATTCTCTTCCCGCTCTTCATCCTGGAGGAAGTAACATCTGCAGCTGTTCCTGCTTTTGACGCACCACATGGATCTCTGATATCTGGTTTGTTCTCCCTGCCTGGCTACAGTGACTTGATCACCTACAGCTAGTTGGAACTTTCATGAGCACCAGCTGCTGGGTGTTGTGAGTACCTGAGGCCTTGGCTCACTTTGGCCTAGATGCATTACTGCTGTGGGGATGCAATGTGTTTTTGCTAAGACACATAAAGAACATTTCCACTCCTATGGGTAACCTCAGCCTATACTCCCCTACTGGATTTGGAGATGCTCGTTTTTGCAGGCCTACTAAGAACACCCTAGGGGTTTGCGCTCAAAGCCATTCTGCCTGCACAGGTTCTACGTGTTATCTGCAGAGTCTGTCTCTGACCCTCCTGAACCCTTAAATAAAACCAGGCCTGCTGCCCATTTTACCATATCTGGTTAAGTGTCAGAGTCCAAACAGCCTAGCTTTAAAAAGACTGTTTTTGGGGCACAGTACTCTCCTGCTGTTGTCTCAAATTTACAGACGGTTGTTTCAAACCTTATTGATGCAGTGTGTATTACTCTGCATCTGGAGGATTAGCCTGCTGTTCCAACATTTATGGTATTTTAGGTCCAACATCTGCACATACTTTTCTACTGCACCAGCTATTTGAATAAATCCTTGAGAGAGCAACCTCTCCCTTATTTGTTGGTACTTGGTATTTTTCAGCTCCCCCCATAGTGCAGGGGCCTAAGCTCAGGATTAGACAGTCAGCTGATCTCTATAGAGCAGGAGGTTCCTGGTGGGTCCACTCAATCTCTTTCGGTGAGCAAGATGGTCTCTTACCTCATTCGGGGGGAACCCTGCTTGTTGGGATGTCCTCAGAGCAGATGGTCTCCTTTTCATCAGAGGATCTCAGGGTGAGTTGGTTTTCTGTGTCTGACTCTATTGTACATCACCTAGTTGTTGCAATACCTTCACCTCTAGGTTTGGAAATCTTCACTGAGACAGGACAAGTGGCCTGGTCCCTATGATGGGCACCATTGAGAGTTCTACTTTTGACCACCCTGACCTTCCTGGAATCAAGGCATTGACATCTGGTTGTCCTCATCCAGTGGTCCGCACTCCAAAGAGAGAGGTTTGCACACAGGGTGAACCTCATCACCTGCATGGCAAACAGAAGTAGTTGCTGAAGGGCTTGGTACCCTCTGGTTTGTCAACAGGCGGAAAATGCTGTTTTCCTGCTAAATGTGTACTCCCTGTTGGAGACAGAGTATGTCTAAAGGCCCTCATAAAACCTGATCATTCGAAGATGAATCCTTCGTCTGTGGCTGATCCAGCCTTTTAAGGAAGTTTCTCCAGAGCCCCTCATGTGACTCCTAATCAGGTGAATATTTTTAGAAGTATATCTAAGTTCCTGTCCATCGCTCCACAATAATGTATACTTTGCTGGACCAGAGCAGGTAAGTAAATTCCTAGAAACATGTTCTGTGCTTAAAGTTAGGCATGGCCTACTTCTGCAGATTGTATTTGACAGTCCCCCAGAGACACCTTCAGGTGGATAGATTTACCATCACCTGATGTTCTCTTGCATCAGTTTGGGGTTGGGATATGCTTTCCATCCCTTTGTAGAGATACCTCTTCTGCACCCTACCCCCTTTTTCAGTCAGGTTGAGTTCAGTTTTGGTATCCTTGAGTCCTCTACCAATCTCATGGGGCCACTTTGCTAACCTCTTGGGATAATATGTGGTATTGTTTTCTCACATTCCTGGATATCTTGCCAAATTTAGTTGCCCAGCCAGGCATCCTGATACCCATTATGGAAGCATTCTCCCCTGAATCATAAGAATTGGGAGTGTAAGGCTTGGGTCTTCACATGTAGGCTGGCTGGTCCTCGCTTGAGGGTCTATTGTTGCCCAAGGATCCTTTTGGGGAACTCCCGGGTCCCAGTGTTTTTTCTGTTGACCAAATACTGTTGTTCTTTTTCTTTCTTATCAGGTTTTTTGCTGGTCAGGCTCAGTGTTCCTTTGTGTGAAGTCATTCCTTTTGGCAGTGATTTCTTTTGTGCTGCACTTGAGGTTGATCCTCTGTGGCCTTCCTTTGGTCATTGACAGTTCCCCTGTCCTGCAGAGGGTTTCTTCACATCTGGCTCAGATTCAGTTATTTGTCCTTCAGGTAGTTCTTAGTTTCAGAAAGTTACCAATTCCTTTTTATGGACCTGTTGTGACTGTTGCACGCCCCTCAGTTGGACTGTTTTTGGACATCCCAATGAATTCCTATTTGCCTCAATAGATGAGAAACAAGAAAAGAAAGTCTTGAAATTCACTGAGGGGAACAGGCCCCACCCCTCTGTGTTTTTGTTCTTGCCCTTGGCACTGCTTTTTCACAAAACAGGAATTTTGGGAAGAGGACAGGTTATACAGGGGGTGGCTTATCATTTTTTTCTTTTTGCCAGTGTCCCAGCCTCCTGTAGGCTGTAGTATAACCTGACTGTTCCTGAATTCCTGTGTCCCTCAATGGACTTCAAGAAAAAGATTTTATGGCAAGTAAAAAAATATTTTTTTAATGCAAACCGCGTAAAGTACCTGAATCTGACTTATCAGTCTCTTTCGGTCCCTGTACAGTAGAGTGCTAATAGGAAGAGGGAGAAGCAGCACAAAGAACCAATCAGTTGCTGCATTGGTTATGTGCTAACAAGAAGCATGCTAAAAGGAGAAAAGTTCAGACAGATGAGCTCATTAGTCGGCTGCTTCTCCTTTCAGTGTCTACTCATAGACCGGGGAAGGGACAAGATGTGTGAATGTTACTTACCTAGAGTACACAAAATCCTGCCCTGACAGACAGGGCTGAGCTGTGTGTAAGAGCTTTTTTGAACATTTTTGGACTGGGTGATTAGAAATACAAATCCTATGACAGATAAAATAACTACCATATATGTATACTATCTCTGTATTTAGCTGTTTGTCTGAAGTTCAACTTCAAGATGTAATTACAAGAGTGAAAGTGGTTTGCTGATCTAAAGTTCCTCAGGGCCTTTTTATTATGATACCTATTAAGTCTAAAGGACTCCCTTTGTATCATTGTATTGAAAAAATTTACCAGTAAAGTTGGTGACATGTTGGTTTATTTCTTGATTACAGTTGAGTTATAGAATGTAATGAGAGACCCAAATGTAATTTTAACTTGTTATTGCTTTGATTTTAAGAATTGTTTGAAAATGAACATTTGCGCATTGGAAAGAAAAGTAAGTAATGTTCATTGCTTTGTCCTTTGTCTTGTAGATATGTCTCTTGGATATTTTGTTAAATTATATGCACACTGTTATATATAAAACTGGTGCTTATAATTGCTGGAATAAGAACCCCGTAAATGACGTGAAAGTAATAGAGCACACTGCTGACAATTGAAGGCTCAGCAGAGAGCCATCAAATGATGTTCTCTTTTGGATTTAATGCACATGTCATGGTGTGAAACTTCATTTATTTTGCTGTCTGTAAAGTTTTCAGTAAATCTTTTAATTGCTGTTCTTATTACCGCTCACATAATTTCTTCATGTATTCATGGAATATTGTCACATCCAAGACAGTTTGACCATTTTTAACACAGCATATCATCTGTAGTGATATCTCCTTTGACAGCTGTAGGCGAAGAGGGATACTACACATTTTCCTGTGTTTAATTATGATTCTTGATAATGAAGCTCAATTCAAGCCTATAATATTAAAAGTCCATTGATTGACCAAAGAAATGTATCAACCTATATGATTGAGTTTGTTAAGAACAAACACTGAGCCATTGAACAAGGACAAGTTTGCAGATCTGTCTTTTCTGATGTCCTTTATGGCACCTGTAGGTGACAAGGGAGACTACACATTTTTCCTGTGTTTTTTAACCTGACTCTGCCTTGCTTGTCAAGATCCTTCTGTAATCATCTGCACATCAGCATCCAGACTAGGGGGAAAGCTAGCTAGGCATATTTGTTTGGCACGGGGCTTTGAATCTAGCAAATGGAGTCTGCTATTTGAATAAGATTGCAGAGATGACCTCACAAGACAGCTGCTGGTCTCTCATTATCCAACCAGAGACTTGACCAAGCTGCATTGCTTTGACTGCAGTGGTGAAAAGTAAATGGTTAGGACCTTTTATAGTGTCTGGCAGGAAGGTTAGAAAAATGGCTGGACAAAATGACACATTTTTGACAGGTAAGAAATGTATGCATTTCCACTGTGTGTTAAGCTTACACTTTATTTACTATTGCTAGTGCTTGGGAAAGCAGTATGTATGTATTACATACATTGGGGAAAATAGTTATTTGATCCCTTGCAGATTTTGGTAGTCCGCACACTTACAAAGAAAAGAAGGGTCTATAATATTTATTATAGGTGTATTTCAAATGATAGAGACAGAATATCAACCAAAAATCCAGAAAAAACACATGATACAAATGTTATAAATTGAGTTGCAGTTCGGTGAGTAAAATGAGTATTTGATCACCAACCAAAACATGACTTAGTACTTGGTGGAGAACCCCTTGTTGGCAAGCACCGAGGTAAGACGTTTCTTGTAGTTGGTTACCAGGTTTGGACATGTCTCAGGATGGATTTTGGTCCACTCTTTTTTACAAATATTCTCTAAATCTTTAAGGTTTCTTGGCTGTCGCTTGGCAACTCAAAGTTTCAGCACCGTCCATACATTTTCTATAGGATTAAGGTCTGGAGAATGGCTAGGCCACTCCATGACTTTAATGTGCTTCTTCTTGAGCCACTCCTTTGTTGCCTGGGTGGTATGTTTTGGGTCATTGTCATGCTGGAAGACCCATCCATGACCCATCTTCAGTGTTCTGGCTAAGGGAAGGAGGTTCTCATCCAAGATTTTACGATACATGGCCCTGTCCATTGGCCCCTCAATGCAGCAAAGTCGGCCTGTACCTTTTTGCAGAAAAACAGCCCCACAGCATAATGTTTTCACCTTCGTGCTTGACTGTAGGGATAGGGATGGTGTTCTTAGGGTCATAGTCAGCATTTTCTTCTTCCAAACACTGCAAGTCGAGTTAATGCCAAAGAGCTCAATTTTGGTCTCATCTGACCACAGCATTTTCTCCCAATCTTTCTCTGAATCATTTAGATGTTCAATGGCAAACTTCAGACGGGCCTGTACATGTGCCTTCTTTGAGGAGGGGGACCTTGCAGGCACTGCAGGATTTCAGTCCATGGTGGTGTATTGTGTTACCAATGGTTTGTTTGGTGACTGTGGTCCCAACTGTCTTGAGATCATTCACAAGCTCCTCCTGTGTAGTTCTGGGCTGATCCCTCACTTTTCTCATGCCCCCATGAGGCAAAATCTTGCATGGAGCTCCAGACCGAGGGCGATGGATGGTTATTTTGTATGTCTTTCATTTGAAAATAATCACTTGAACAGTTGTCTCCTTCTCACCAAGCTTCTTGCTGATGTTCTTGTAGTCCATTCCAGCCTTGTGCAGGTCTACAATCTTGTACCTGATGTCCTTTGGTAGCTCTTTGGTCTTGCCCATGATGGTTAGGAAGACTGAGATTCTGTGGGCAGTTGTCTTTTATACACATAACGAGTTGTCATTAGGAGCACCTTCTTAAATTGACAGGACTAACACATGAGCTTATAGCTAGTATGTGGGAGCCAGAATTATTGTTGGTTGGTAAGGGGATCAAATACTTATTTTACTCACTGAACTGCAACTCAATCTATAATATTTGTATCATGTGTCTTTGCTGGATTTTTGGTTGATATTCTGTCTCTATCATTTAAAATACACCTATGATAAAAAATTATAGACTCTTAATTTATTTGTAAGTGGGCAAACTTACAAAATCTGCAGAGGATCAAATAATTATTTACCCCACTGTATCCATCATCACATATGGTACCAATGTTGGATCTGTTATCCTAAAACCTATTAGCCAGGAAATCAAGAAAAAGGAAAAGGGTCAAAATGCGCAATTGTTTTGTTTTTGTTTCCTTCATTTAGTCCTAGAAGAACATGACAGTGCTGCAGCTCAGCAGTATGTGCGCCAAGGATGCTCAACAGCCCTCCGTGCTGAATTATGGGCACTCATTCTGAACATCTCAGACCAACCAGAGGTAAGAAAGAAAGCATCCAGTCTGTGAAAGGCAAGAATGAACTTGAAAGGGGCTTTATCTGCAAAGATCAACTTTGGGGCTGATTTATAATGAAAGGCGATGTGTTCCCTGTTATACCTGCTATGTAAGTCCACACTATGGCCCATTCATAAACGCAGAGAGAGCTTTGACAGGTCACGTGACTGGGCTCCCCTGTATTTTATTATTTATGTTAAACAGCCTGATTTCTATATATGCAATAATATACTAGCTAAGTGTGACAGTAAAAGCCAAAGTGGGTTTACTTGGCTATGGTTCATTAAAGTCAGAAAATGAAAGCCTGCTAGAACACTTCAGGCTGGCCCCTTTTGCAGGTATGGCTATGTAAAACATTAAAATAAATGCCTATACTGTTGAAAATCCAGTAATACACTGTCTCACCCTGTTCTTCACATGCTCAGTTTGTCTCTATTTTTTGTCACTGTGCCAACAATGTAGAGGCCTATCTGCTGACAGCCTAAATATTTGTTGTTGCTCAAGGGCAGGAGCAATGTTGGAGGGAATTTATAGTACCCAGTAATTGTGGTAGCATAATTTTCTAATGTGTAATCTTTGTTCCTTGTTAAAGAACATTATTTTTTATCAAGTTGTTATGTGTAAAGTTCCACTGGTTTTTGCAGGTTAATATGATTTGTAAAAACAATTTTATAGATTTAAAGGAAAATCTTTCTCATTTTATAGCACGCCTCCAGACATTTTTGTTGCCAACTCTTCCCCACTTCTCTAGAACAATTACATTTCTTATTTTTATTTGGTATCCCCCTGCCAGGTGAAATTTGAGTGATGTCATCACCTGGATTCAGGACCATCGTCTTTCAGCACTACAGGGATGAGGAGACTGCAGGGCTCTTTACATCACATTGCCTTCCCTTGCAGAACTGTTGAGGGAATGGAGGAGACCAGTCACCCAACACAGATGTAGTCAGCTGGCGTGGCTGGTCTCCTCAGCAGGAAATGCCACCTCAAGCACTGTTAGCTGTCAGCATTTCTTGATTAACTAAGGCAGAAATGAGTTGGGGACACCAAAAGAGCAAGCTCTATATCAGGGGTCTCCAAACATTTCAAACAAAGGGCCAGTTTACTGTCCTTCAGATTTTCAGGGGGCCGGATTGTGGCCAGCATGGGTAGAAAATGTCCCTGACCTAGCATCAATTAGAATAAACCTTACCTTAGGGTTGGTGGTCAGTAGGAGGAGGAGTAATCCCCCATCATTGGTATCAGCTGAAGACCTTGTGCCCCATTGTTGCAGCCAGTGGGAGGAATACTGCCCCATTGTCGGTTTTTAGTGGGAAGAATACTGTTGCATCATTAATATTAGTGGGAGGAATAGTGCCCCATCATTTGTGTCAGTGGCAGGAATTATGCCCCACTGTTGATGGAGGAATAGTCCCCACTGTTGATGGAGGAATAGACGAAGGGAGTTCGTCTCCTGAAATGTGTTAGCATACCTTGTCGCAAGACCACCATTTGCTTGGACGGTTACATTGGTTCCTTGTTTGTTTACATGACTCTTGGTTTGTGAGTATATGCTTTTTTTATCACGGTAATGCACGAGGAGAGTGCACCCTTTTTTGCTTTCTTCCAGTATTACCAAGATTCCCCAATCTTTGGAGGGCCACACCTCAGTGAGTGACTGTTACTGTGTGACTGGGATGCTTATAGACCTGAGCGCTGCTTTTGCTTTTTTTAATCTTGATATTTAGGACAGGAAATGCATGATAATAATAAAATGTAATGTAGCCACCACATACTGATTATGTCTAATAATCTGGTATATTTATGTTTTTGTCCTAGATGTAGATATATTTTAAGTACCAGAATTCAACTTGGTATCAGCCCCTTTTAATCACCTTCTGAGTAACTAAGTGGCTGGCATCGTTCCTGCATACAATCATGCTGACAGGGAGCGAGCTGACAGGTGGAGAGAGCAAAGTGATGAATATATCAGCCTCCTAATGGCCCTTTGCTGTCTAATCACACTCTTTTACCAGGTAGATGACCAGTCTATATTTTTAATCTGTAATAGAGAAATGTCAGGTCATCTTTCTTTGCTGTCTGGCAGACACGGCTGTATACATTTTAGGTCTAAATAGACAGAAATACAAATCTATTGACAGGCAAAACTGCTCCCAATGAAATAAAAACTCATACAATTAGGTCCATATATATTTGGACAAAGGCATGATTTTAGATTTTTCAGGTATTTACCAAAACATATTCAAGCTATAGTCATATAATGGATTTGGGCTGAAAGTGCACACTCTCATGTTTAATTTGAGGGTATGTACATCCAAATTGGAGGAAGGGTTTAGGAATCACAGCTCTTAACAGTAGCCATCCCCCCATTTTCAAGGAACCAAAAGTAATTGGACAATTGAATCAAAAGCTGTTTCATGGCCAGGTGTGGGATACTCCTTCGTTATTTCTTCATCAATTAAGTAGATAAAAGGTCTGAAGTTGATCTTGTCTGAAGTGTGGTATATGCATTTGTAATCTATTGCTGTAAACCTGCATCATGTGTTCAAAGGATTGATTCAAAGGAGCTGTCCATGCAAATAAAACAGGCCATTGTAAGGCTTCAAAAATGAAAAACATCCATCAGAGAGATAGCAGTAACATTAGGAGTGGCCAAATCAACAGTTTGGTACATTCTGAGGAAAGAAGAAAGCACTGGTGAGCTCAGCAACATAAAAAGGCATGGACGTCCACGGAAGACTACATTGGTGGATGATCACAGGATCCTCTCTATGGTAAAGAAAAACCCATTCACAACATCCAGACAAGTGAAGGACACTCTCCAGGAGGTGGGCGTATCATTGTCAAAGTTTACAATCAAGAGAAGACTTCATGAGAGCAAATACAGAGGGTTCACCACAAGGTGCAAACCATTCATAATCCTGAAGAATTGAACAGACAGATTAGACTTTGTGTGGTGGTTTATGTAAGGATATATTTTACTTATAAAGGGCGTGTCCCTTTCCCTTAGATGAAATATTACAGTGCCTCCAACCGTTAAAATACGGCAAATATTTAATAAACCAATAATTTGGACACCTTGATAATTTGATCACCACTTATTATTATACCTTGAATTCTTTTAGCCAATATGATTTCGTACCATACACACAAAATTTGCCTTATAATAGATAAATATAAAAATTTATTTATGTACAAAAAAAAATTATATATATATTAACACAAAACGCAAAAGACTGGTGATAAATGAATACTGATACACACAATCAAAGACATACCCTACCAATGTAATACACAATACTAATGTTTCCAAATAATTAAATCAATATCACAATTTCTAAATGATCTGATTAAAAATTAAATTTATTAATAACTAATAATTTCGAGTATCTCAAAGGTTATATTCTCACAAGCCGTGGCCATAGGATTGCAAGAAGCTATTCCTTGATAAATTATACTCTGATTATTAATATTTAATAAATTATGAAATATGAAAAAAAATGTATAATATGACACCACACAATTTTTAACAGTAAAACAGGATCTCTCTACATATATATAACTACCCAATATTGTTGTGATACACTAAGGTAATTCTATGATTCCACACAACAGAGAAAATAGGTAATGCAAAATTAAATAAACAGTCTCACCACACCCGGAATTCAGACTAGGAAACTCTCCCGTGGATTTAGCTGGCATTTAACGCCTTTAGAAATGATATCACAGGGCAAGTGATAGATATTTAGTATGGGAGAATGTAGGAAATTAGGAGTACAGAGGTTTAGCAATTTAGTAAAGTTTGGAAATTTGAAAGGATGGAAGAGGGGTTATAGAGAGGTCTCTTCAGATGTCTTCAGATTCTTCTCATCAGGTCTTTCTTCAGTCAGGTTTTATTTCTTTTGATGAGTTTTTTTTCTTTTGATGAGTTTTTTTTTTTCTTAAAGGTGCATGGGCTTTTATATCCACTAATCCATTGTTCTAAGATACCTTCCCACCAGGCTTCTTGATTGGCTAGTTGAGAAATGTGTGTACATAAGCTATTTCTCACCTGCCCGCCAGATGGCAGTCATGTATCATAGAACAATTTGAGTATTTGAGATGACTCATACCTCGGGTGGAATTTTAAGGTAATTTCAGGGATTAAATATACGTCTTTTTCCAGATATATAAGTGATCATACCTATAATATTCTAAATAGGGACCATGGAATATAGGTGTATATTCAGTTATTCCTTCTTGAAATACAAGCTTGTGTGAAAGCATCTATTTCCTGATGAGACATACAGCTGAGGCTAACTTAAAATATATCTTACTTTTCATCATCTCAATACTCAAGTTAGTGATATATAATTCCCATTGCTGAATATTTGGTGGTGTGTGAAACCTATTCTTTATAACATCTCTAGATACTATGCTTTTGTAGTAATATCTTTGTAGTTAGATACATTCAATTTTTAGTCTTAAATGTCCTGAATTTAACTTCTTTGTTTTAGAACCAACATTTTCTATGTGTAGGGAAAAACTCTCAGTTTGCCTGGCTCTTGTATTGGAGTCACAGTAAACAACTATTAATACTTTCACCCTTGGTGGACAATAGCATATTGTGATAGTTTGAGAGGTCTGTTGGTTTATCACACTCTGCAAGGTTTGGGTAAGCTCTCAGACAATCAGTTTGGTTCCTCTATTGTCATGTCCAAACCTTGTATATGTTTACCTGCTATTGAAGTCTGAATAATGGTGTTTGACCACCTGTAGAACTTCAAAATAGTATATTGTCTCTGGGAGGAAAAAAAAAATCCCTTCACCCATCGTTTACATTTCTCTAGCTAGATGATCATTCGACTTTCCAACCAAGACAAATAAACCCTTAACATCCGGCTATGCTGACTTGATGTTATATAGGATTATGTCTTGATAAATCATGTTTTTGAGACATAATTTCAAAAGGTCCACAACATTTGCCAAAAAACATCTAAAAAAGCCAGACCAGTTCTGAGAAAGCATTCTTTGGATGGATGAAACTAAGATTAATCTGTACCAGAATGACAGG